TCCTCCTCCTCCTCCTCCTCCTCCTCCTCCTCCTCCTCCTCCTCCTCCTCCTCCTCCTCCTCCTCCTCCTCCTCCTCTCCTCTTCCCCTTCTTCATCTTCATCTACCTCGTCCCTTGTTCTCTGGCTCGCATATTCCCGCGCGTCGAAGCCTATCCGTTGAGAACCGCCCGTAAAAGGGGGTACTGTGGGGAGAATGTCGGTCCTATCATCAGGGACTGCTTCGTAGGGGTACTTTAGAAGGAAATTGACAGGGTGTAAGCGGAACAAATTCACTAAGAGGCGTCATTTGGGGGGTAGGGGTACTTCGAGCAGGGGTACAGGTTTCAAATATTTGACCCACTCAATGGCGTGGCGAAGGAGGGGCGGTGAAAGATGGAAGGAAAGTAGATGAAGCCAGCGAAGATGCGATGCGATGAAGAGCAGTTGTTGTTGACTCGTCGACATCATCGTCAATCTCTCCAGTTGCTATAAGACACAACATCATCCTTGGACTCTCAAGATCCTCCCATGTCGAGACTCCTCGATCGGCCGAGGAGGCTTCCCGAGTCCTCAACAGATAAGCAAAGACGCGGATCACCGGACAGAGGAGTTGAACCAACAGAGCGAATGTCCAAGTCTCGCGTCCAGGACGTCATCAAGACCCTCTTGGTCGACGACAGCTACCAAAGCGACACCATCAGCAGAGCCCAGGCTCTCCTACACAGCCGCTCGCTGGTTCTGTCAGAGCCTGAGGCGAGAGAGGATACAGACGACTCTCTGCTGCAGGGCTCCATCTCCACCATCTATGCTCCCACCCTCCTGCCTCCGTCCCTTGTGCGAGCTGCAACAGCTCATGCTCGCAAGACCTTGATGTCAAGAGCGCTTCGCGCATGGCTGCGTCTGGCCTGGGCCAACCTGAGGGAAGTAGCGAAGGCGAGCGCAACGATGACAGCAATGGGGACATGGAGGAAGGCGACGCTGAGGAAGGTCAAGGACGGGAACCTCTGGGCGGGTCCCTGCCAGCGTCCGACGATGACGTTAGCTCAGTTTCTGCACGTCAGAAAGGATGCGGTGAGGGTACATGGAGGGAGATGGAGGGGTACTGACAAGCTGGTGGTGCTGCATGCCCAAGGTGGAGAGACTTGCCTGGTTGTCCCTCGTCCATCGCCGATCCTACTTGCAGCAAACCTTCCAGTGCTGGCGGTGGAGGATCTCGAGCTGGAGGTATTGCCAGCTGCTGAGCAGGTTAAGTTCCTGACTTCTCACGAGGGTCCTGCGCGGCTGCATCCCAGCTGCACTTAGAAAACTCTCGATCTCTAAGGAGTGCAAGTTTGAGGTTCGTCGTGCTTGCTCTGTGCTGCTCCTCCTCCTCCTACCATGCCGTTCCTGCGCTCCTTCACGTGTCCCGCCCTCTCCCTCGCTCGCTTCCTCGTCTTCATGCCTGCCGTGCTCTCACGGTGCTCGTCTAGGATGCAGTTGCTCCCGTCTGGCGCATTTGGTGCGTTGCAGGTTGTGCTTTGTTGTACAGAAGGTGATGGCGTGCGATGGTCGAGGTGCTGTAAAATGACAACATGGACCAGGTCAAAGAACAACATACGAGCAAACTGTCTTCTCAGGATGAAAGAGTTCGCAACTTCCATGCGGGTTTGTCGATACAAGATGTATTTTCAAGCTGATCGGCCGAAAAATCGGAAAGTTTGACGTCTATTTGATTAAAGGTCTGTGAATGCGATGCGAAGCAATCTTGGTAGGGTTCGGCAAAATTTTGTCTTGTGGAAGGAAATAGCAGTCTACAGCAAAGAAAGAACGTAAGGACGATACATACTTTTTTGTCTCAGTATCTTGCAGGTTGAAAGAAAGAGCAATGATATTGCTGGGAAACTTCTTCCAGTCAAAAGATCGCCTCGATCGCTTATCTGTTTCCTTCGGACAGCTTGCTGAAAATGTCAGGACGAGGAAGAAGATGAGAAGGTTGATTGTTTGGCTGATGGCTCGTCTTATCTCAAAATCTTCTTGTTGTGCAGGTTTGAAATGCTTGTAAGGACTCGATGTGACAGACGTTCCCTGGTTACTTTCTTGATGAGATGGTAAGATAACGATTTGGAGAAAGGAGAATCAGTTTCAACCTTCCATGGATGAGTTTGAAATGTGGCAGGCTCACTAGTCATCATGATCGAAGGACATGGGCAAACTTTGAGAGCACTGCTCTGCTAAAGTTCTCGCTGTACCGTCTCCGAAGGTTTTCTCCTTGAAAGTAGATCACGAGAATTCTTGACCTGAGGCTGCAGGAAGTGGGAGAGATGGAATGAGTTCTGTACTAGCTGCAAGGCAAGAGATAGAATCTCTCGGGCAGTGTTCTGCAAGGACGAAATGAAGGCCAGCCAACGCCTTCGCAAGCTGGTCAGAAGAAAGAGAGGGATTCCTTGTTGTTTGAAGAGCGAGCCAGTGGGTGCGATGGTCCGATTGGGCGGCGGAATGTGATCGAAGAAGACAAAAGATGCTCAAGATCAGGCCAGTCGTCTCTCAGCTGTGTGCTATAAGTATGACACGTCAGAGACAGCCTGGTCATCCGGAGGAGATGCTTGAAGACTTTCTTTGACGCTATCAGGTTCCTCACTGTACAAGGATGACGCTTGTAACGAATTTCTGCAGTGATGTCACTGTTTTCTCTGAAAGGTCACGGACAAATTTAGGAGCGTTATTGAAACGTTTGATCGTGAGAAGCCTTCAATGATTCGTCGTTCCTCTGACCTGTCTTGTCAGTACGTTTCTTTCAATCATTGGAAGGGGATTGTCAGTAAGAAGCGGAATTGCTATCAAGACCTTGCACAAAGACACTTAGAGTACAGCAAAAGCTTGTTTGGCATAGTGAATCTGACAAGTAGCAAAGGAAAGCAAGCGCAGCACTTGGTACAGCATGGGGAGAATGGAGAAATTTTGTGAGGAACCAGGAATTGAAGAGAAGGTTCGATTACACTTTGAAATTCGCTCTTTTAAAGCCTTCATTCCAGGAAGTGTTTCTCAATGCAAGAGAAGATAAAGCGAGGAGTTCTGAAAACGAAGCTGATGGATTGGTTCTTCGGCATGAAGAACAATATGAGGACGAGGAGATGTTACATCAAACTACTTCTCTCGTGAGATTCTCTCCAGATACCCTGCGAAGTTCCTGTTGAAGTTATCTCTAGGACAAGATCTTTACGAACAAGATTCCATCTGATGATCTGGCGTGAGAGCATTGAAACAAACACTGAGGCCCTCAAAATCCTGCATCAAGTCCAGCAGACACAGATACGGAAATTCTTCTTGGAGTGGAGTGTCAAAGTTGTTCATCGCAGAATCATAGTAAGCAGTGTCCATTCTATTCCGCTCTTCTCTCTGCTTACTCTGATTGCAGATTGATCAAGAGTTGAAGAGGAAGACGAAAAGCTGGATCTCGTTTTGCTGCATGGTCGTAGAGACTCGCAGACTTCGTATCAGTGCAACGAGGATAAGCGTCAAGCTGTCGAGGTCATCGCCAGTCGTTGTGTGCCCCTCGCTGACGCTGCTCAAAGCTCCCTCCTCTCTACATCCTTCTCTCGATGGCTCGATACTGCGACCGCCATGAGGAGAAATCGTCAGATAGTGCGCAGGGTTCGTCTGCTTGCCTCCCTCCTCCCTCCTCCCTCCTCCCTCCTCTCTCTCACCTGTGCCTGCGCAGGCATACACGCGCATGGCGATGCTCTTTGCGGCTTGCGCGTGGGAGGCGTGGAGGGACCAGCACATGAACCATCGCAAGGTCGTGAGGGCTCTTGACACCTGGATGACAAAAACGAAGCTTGTCAGCGCCGGCGAGATCTTTGAGGCGTGGCAGCTGATTCGACGTGACTGCTGATTGCTTTCTTTCTGCCCTGATGTATCTTTCAGGCCGACAAAAGCATGTCAGAAACAACATTGAAAAGGTCCACAAAAACCGTCAACACATCTTGCTGCTACAAGCCTTCTCTTGTTGGATATCGGGTTTGAGCTGGGCAGCCAAAGTAAGCACATCAAAGAGAATAGGCCGGGGAGGAAGGAGGACGAGGCTGCGGGGGGGCAACATGACTCATTTTATTGCAGAAGCGCACGGATATCCTCAAGTCAAGCTCATTCGCCTCCAGGAGGGAGCAAGGAATCTCCTTTGCCTGCTGGGCTGCCTGTGCTCGAGCCGGATCAGCTCGCCATCGCCTTTTTGTACAGGTCAAGACCAGGACGGCAAAGAGTCTGCTCCGGTCCAGCTGGGGTTGTCTGGCTTCGTTCGTTTCGTCCTCGAGACATCTCAAGGTCGTTTCGAGCAGGATCGCGTCAGTCGTGCACAGACGACCTCCCAGGTCTCTTCTTGCCGATGGCAATGGCACGATCCTTGTCCGCGCCTGGTTGCCAGTGGCCGATGGCTCCTGTCTGACCCGCTGGCTCGCCTCCGTCCTCTTCGACTGCTGGCAGCAGCAGGCGACTCTCAGCAAGCACACCAAGTCGCTCGTGAACAAGACGGCCAGCGGCGTTGCTCGTGCCATGCTGCTGAGCTCCAGCCGGATGGAGGGCTCGAGGATGCTTGCAACGAAGAGCGGAACGAGCTCGCGTCCCCTTCACAGGAGCCAGGGCGAGTCGAGAGCGTCAGGGAGAGGAGGCAGCAGGGGATACGAAGAAAGTCAAGGGTCATCTGACGAGGAGAGCGAGGAAGAGGAGCGAATGAGCGGGAGGAGGAAAGTGAGGGGAGGGGAGGAGGAGCGAGTGAGCGGGAGGGCAGGGGAGGAGGAGGAGGAGGAGGAGGCAGTTGACGACTCGGCTACGTCAGATGAAGACGAGGCTATCAAGATGGAGGACCTCAACGGCCACTGAAACTCTAAATAAAAGTTTATCTCTCTATATGTCAGTATAATTTCCCTTTCTGCCTAATTGTCTTTCCTATCTTTGTGGATGAGGCGGACTCGTCTATCAACAGGCTGGCCCTCCTCTGGCCTGGACTTGTTGTGGACAGCAGGAGAGCGAAAAGGCAGGCAAGTGCGAAGGAGAGGAGAAGAACAGTTGTTGATAAGAGGCATCGAGATGTATGCATCATCTCTGTCCTGTCTCTTCGTGTTCTTTCTTCAGTTTCCAAAGTTGTTTGTCCTGCAGTCGACCTCACTCAGAGTGTCTGAATTGTGCTGGTTGCTGAGATGTGTTTGTTGCTTCCTGCTTCTCAGTCTTCCTGTCTCTTTGTGCACGATTGTGATGAAACATGTCTTCTGGCCCAGTCGTCTCGCAGAAGAATGAGGTTGTTTGAGCTAGCAACTAGCAGACAGGTGCAGGCAGAATTGCACATCAGTGCTGACATCTTGGGATTTCTAGATTCTTTTCTCCGCTTAAACATCCTGGCAATCAATGATCATGGAAGAAGCTCTATGAGCTAGAAATTTCCAAGAACATATACGTAACTCGTCTCTTCATCAGACCCCTTCACGATGGAGGGAAAATTCTCGGGAACATTTCGAGGAGGAGGGACCATCAGTGACAGCCCATTCGCTCCAGTCCTGGCGGTTGCGTCCATTCAGGACAGGGGGAGTGACGCAAGATGGAGTGAGAGTGGGCGGGAGGGTCCATGGAGGTTGACGAAGATGCGCAGATCGCAATTCATTCCAAGCGTTTGGTATGGACCGACACAACAATGCGAGGAGAGAAAGTATAGACCAGGTGAGGGACGAGCATGGCTGCTGCTGTTGCTAACTGCTCGACCAAGTTGATGGATGCAAGACTTGAGAGAGCAAAGCTGCTTGCTACAAAAAAGGACAAGCTGGTCCAAATATCCCTACTGATGGAAAGCGTATCCTGATGACGTTTCGTAGTCAAAACTTTTGCAGAACAAATTCTTGGCAGAAACAACCAGCTTGGTGAAGTCGGGTTTTGACAATCTGGCCAACACGGCACGAGTATACGCAGCTTAAAACTTGTTGTCCGTTCTGAACATCCATACAAGGACTTCTCAAACGACGTGGTGACAGCGGTGGCGGATTCTTTCAAGGAGCAAGAAAAGACCGAAGAAGTTAGAAATTCTCTTGGAAAGAAAGGCAGACTTAAGATAATGTAGGTTGTTGAGACCTTCATCTCATGTGAGCACAACACGGTAGAGATCAAGCTTCGAAGTTTTAGATCGTTGATTAGCTTGGCATCAGGACTCGATCAGAGCTGGCAACTTAGCTACCGAGGCTCAGAAGGAAGCAAAACGTGCGATGAGAGTAAGATCCAACTTCTCTCAATTGAATGAAGATGACATCGTAATGATATTTTGAGTGCAGGCATCAAGACGAGCTCAAGATGTAGCCAGACAAATACATGTAACCCCGAAGGATTTCAGAAGGTTCAGCAAAGAGAATATAGACTTGTCAGGTGTGGATGAGCCCCAAGATTTTAGATCATGACATGCCTTGCAGGGCTATCGATGAGGCCAGAAAATCAGAAACAAGCTATCCTGAGTGTCACCATTCACGGAGGGAGACATTTTCCATTACAAAGTACGTTTGTCTTGCTCATCCTCTCAGTCTTTCTGCTGAGCTGAAAGATGGGATGTATCCAAGAGCTGATCTGATTGGGATGGTAGGTCACACACAAGAGAGCTCAGAAAACAGCGGCAGATATGTTAGTTCTTATGTGCAGGTGAACCTTCTTCGTGGATCCGAACCAACTTTCCAGGCAGATTCTCTGTTTGTTGTCATCTATGATGCTGAGGAGCCCGAGCAGGCCTTCTCCACTTGTGTTTGCAACAATAAGAAACACCCGTCATGGCAAGAGACGTTCAAATTCTACTTCATGCAATCTGAAAGTGAACTGATGTTGGATCATGTAATATCATGAATTGTGGATCTTCTACATCACTTCTCACAATTGTACAGGTGTTTGAGTTTTTGTTATTGAAAGACACTCCGCAAAACATACTGGATCAGGACAACTCGGTATAAGACACCCTCACGCAATTTCGTTGTCTTTACGCGAATGCAATACAGGTTGAGACGAACAGGTTGATCGGAAAGTTCAAAGTTCCTTTCAAATCATTCATCCAATTCTTTCCAGTAGACCCAGACGCTGATAAGGCAAGCCTGACAGTTTCAACAGAGAGTTCGCCATCCGGCGGGGGAAGTGGACGAAGAGTATCATGAAGGGCAAATCTCTCGCTGGTTCAACATCGACACCTCATACTACCTCTCTAAGTGCTCTCGTCTTGCTGCATGTAAGTCTTCTCTGCTCCTGACGATGGGCACAGGACTCCTCAGGTATTTGTCACCTGCTCTCTATTCGATCCGAACGCGTAGGATGTTGTGTTCTCAAACTCGCAACGTTGACCGACAATGCTAATCAGGCCAAAGAAACTCTCTAAGAAAGCCAAAGCCACGATGGCACAGCTCCTCCCAGCGAGCGAAGATTACAGCATTCCTAAGGTTGGTTATGTGCCCGAGGCATGCTGAGGACCATTGTTCTGGCAAAGCCTTTCCAGAACTTATGGAACGGGGAAGAATGCATGTGCCTGTTCTGTGATGTTTGGCAAGAAAATGGGCAAGGAGGAGGGAGAAGGATGTCACCGTGGGGCGCTGAGGATTATATTTTGCAGGACATGATCGGTTTCTTCTGATCTGATCTTATGTGCTTGCAGGAGAGGCCTCCGCCGGAATGGAAGGGGCATCCTCAACATTTCTTGTTGTACGGAGATTTAGACTGATGCAGTGGCGGAGAGGAGAAGGGTTTTAGAGATGTGGAAAGAACTTGTTATATAGCTGAACTACTTGTTTATGGTCAATGATCTGGGGAAATCACTTGTAAAACAAATGTTTCCCGACTTATGTCGGGAAACATATGTTTACTCTGCGAACAAATGATATTGGAAATGTGCATGGTTTATACATTATGTAAGCTTTGTCTAGCAAGGGCAGATCTCATGTACTTTGAACATGTCTGTTATGTTGCATGAGTTATCTTTCATGATCCTGCTAATCCGCGCGGCATCGGAGAACAGATGATAGCCGTCGGATTTTACAAGAGCATGTTGATCTCCACCCCACCAACATCGCCTCAGAACAACCTTTGGAAAGCTGCCTCAGAGTTGAATAGAAGACAGCACAGAAGTCATAGCTGAGATATTAGAGATCAGTCTACCCATTTCTGAGGCACTTCTTGGTATTCAGACACCCCTCCTATGGATGATAAAAGAAGGGGTGGAATCAGATTTCCGAAAAAAGCTTCTTTCGTCTCCTGCCAGCCTTTACGACCCCCTGGCCACCATGTACCCCTACCCACATTATGCCTACCCCCTCCCCCTTATGACAAGCTTACCAAAACGATGCAGAGCATACCCTACCCTCTTTTCACCCCAAATCACCCACCCAGAAAATAGAAAAACTGCATAGCAAGGTGGTACCCACCCCAAGTGCTAGGTCCAAAGATCATCTCCACCCTTCCATGCCTCTCGCTACTGCGTCCAGGTGATTAGGACAGGACCCCTACCTACCTTAATATTGCAAACCACCCTGTGAAAGTACCCCCTGGACAACAAAGCAAACTCTGTACACATGGAACCCAATTATGGTACCTACCCCTACCACAAGAATAACCCCTCCCTTCCCTTTCCCCCTCCCGACACCAAAACCCCCACGGCTGATCCAAGCCCTCCCACGCTCCCCCCTCCCACGCTCCTCCTGCCCGCTCCTTCTTGCCTCCTGCGACTTGTCCTTCCTCCTACACATAGCTCTTCTCTCTTCCCACCCAAGCCCCATACCACCCTCTCGTTCTTCCCTTTCGACTCTCCGCGCCCTTCTTGGTGCACATTCGTAGCTGCTGCCCCCCCACACCCTCGGCACAGCGTCGTCGCCCCGGCCTTTGATCTTATCGGCTCCTTGCTTGGTGCCTTGCTACCCTCATCTTCCCATCCCCTCATCCCTCTACAGCCACGACTCGTCTTTCTCCCTCCCGCCTCTTTCCGGAATCTCGTTCCCCCCAGGCAACAACCCCAAGCTACTCCCCCCGTGCTGTCGACCAAGACGCCATGTGCCGCTGCCATCTCTCAGAGACTAGCCCAGAGCCCGTGCTGCCCTCCCATCCCATCAAGGGAGGGCTCACCACTCCTCACTGGCATCAGTGCATGGAGCTCAGAAACAAGAGTCGCTACTTCGGCCCCGTCCGCAGGACCCCCTCGAGTTGCCGGTATCATGCCTGCAAGCGGGGCAAGGCGGTACACACGCGGCGACAGCAAGATGATACCAGCGGCCCAGACAGCCGTCGCTCCCCCGCGCAAGTCCAGGACACCGATGCGCTCCAGGACCTCTCCACCGAAGACGAGAGACTGGACCATGACAGCCCTCTGACGTTCTTCTACATGGAGGGAGACGAGGCGTTCTCGGACAGGCTGGAGGCGCCGTACTCGCTGGACCTGATCAAGGTAAGCGGCGCGTAGGAGGGCGTGCGAGCGAGGAGGCTGACGGCAGGGCTTGCACAGGACCTTGACAATGAGCACGCGCTCGACCGTTCCAAGTCGTTGGACTCGCCACTGTACCCGTTGTACTGGGTGGAAGCGGGGCTAGAGAGGCTGGCGAGGATCGAGAAGGAGTCAGCAGGGATGCAGAGCGAGGTCAGAATCATGCGTGGAGGGGGGAGAGGGGTGGCTGACGGGTTGTTTGTGTGCAGGAGATAGAGAAGGGCTGGGACGAGTGGATTGAAGCTCTGAATGTGGAGTAGGCAAAGCGTTTATCTTGGATCTTTGTTAGACTTTCAGTTCAAACGCCCTCTGGTGTTATGTAAATAATACGACTCATCAATGCTTCTTCATTTCTTCTTCTTCATTGAATGGGTCTTGTTGATTAGTGCTCAGCTGAAAGAATCTGATCGTTCATCCTGTGAAGAGTCGCCAAGTTGGTCTATCATTCATCTGGCGGCTTTAACCTGTCTGTTAGAGAGAAATCCTGGACTCGCTATGAGAGCTCGTGAAGCCCTCAGTATTGTGCAAGACGGTCGCCACCAAGAGTCAAGGCCGCTCATGTTTCGTTGTGATCAGGATCACACGTTACATCATACAAAGACGTTTTAAATATTTACTTACATACAGTATCCAGTACGGAATTGCTGATGTTAAAACTATATTAGTTGAATTTCGGTTTGCACCACACGAATGTCAGCACTTGATGCTCCCAGGCGCATCAAAGATGGCAGCGCCAGGGAAGAATGCGGCAGATGCCGAAAGAATGGTGTGATGGTGGATCCAGTAAGATGAGTCTTCTATATCTTTCATCATTGAATTCACATTTGCTTTGTGCACCATTCCTGATACATTGTGTTCCTGTTCAGCAAGAGCCTACAATGAGGATGGGCAGTACACAAGTCTTGTACCCAACATGCTAAAATGAAGTTAATACGCTTGAACAACGAGCGAATGGTCTGATAATCGCATTTTATTTTCAAGGCGCAACATTGAAAGGAAAATGTAGAAAAAGCTTTCAAACAAAAAAAGCTTTCCAAGTGGTACAGCGAATGTCTTATTCAAAAGTGTATTTACAAACAGAGACCAGATATTCGAGATACAAATAACAAGTTATGTATCCACTACTCCATATTCAGAGCTTCAATCCACTCGTCCCAGCCCTTCTCTATCTCCTGCACACAAACAACCCGTCAGCCACCCCTCTCCCCCCTCCACGCATGATTCTGACCTCGCTCTGCATCCCTGCTGACTCCTTCTCGATCCTCGCCAGCCTCTCTAGCCCCGCTTCCACCCAGTACAACGGGTACAGTGGCGAGTCCAACGACTTGGAACGGTCGAGCGCGTGCTCATTGTCAAGGTCCTGTGCAAGCCCTGCCGTCAGCCTCCTCGCTCGCACGCCCTCCTACGCGCCGCTTACCTTGATCAGGTCCAGCGAGTACGGCGCCTCCAGCCTGTCCGAGAACGCCTCGTCTCCCTCCATGTAGAAGAACGTCAGAGGGCTGTCATGGTCCAGTCTCTCGTCTTCGGTGGAGAGGTCCTGGAGCGCATCGGTGTCCTGGACTTGCGCGGGGGAGCGACGGCTGTCTGGGCCGCTGGTATCATCTTGCTGTCGCCGCGTGTGTACCGCCTTGCCCCGCTTGCAGGCGTGATACCGGCAACTCGAGGGGGTCCTGCGGACGGGGCCGAAGTAGCGACTCTTGTTTCTGAGCTCCATGCACTGATGCCAGTGAGGAGTGGTGAGCCCTCCCTTGATGGGATGGGAGGGCAGCACGGGCTCTGGGCTAGTCTCTGAGAGATGGCAGCGGCACATGGCGTCTTGGTCGACAGCACGGGGGGAGTAGCTTGGGGTTGTTGCCTGGGGGGAACGAGATTCCGGAAAGAGGCGGGAGGGAGAAAGACGAGTCGTGGCTGTAGAGGGATGAGGGGATGGGAAGATGAGGGTAGCAAGGCGCCAAGCAAGGAGCCGACAAGATCAAAGGCCGGGGCGACGACGCTGTGCCGAGGGTGTGGGGGGGCAGCAGCTACGAATGTGCACCAAGCAGGGCGCGGAGAGTCGAAAGGGAAGAACGAGAGGGAGGTATGGGGCTTGGGTGGGAGGAGAGAAGAGCTAGGTGTAGGAGGAAGGACAAGTCGCAGGAGGCAAGAAGGAGCGGGCAGGAGGAGCGTGGGAGGGGGGAGCGTGGGAGGGCTTGGATCAGCCGTGGGGGTTTTGGTGTCGGGAGGGGGGAGGGCTGGATCTACTACCCCATGGGTGAACGTCGAAAGGACCCCTGAGCTCATTAATCCCCACCTCCTCCAGGAGGACGGAATGGGGACATCCGAGAGGTCAGTGGGTGGGGTATATTGGGATGGGTTTGCTATGGGGAGATAGGGTAGGGTTTCCCAATGGCGGTTGTAAAGACGTAGGTGGTGTAGGTGGCCGGTGTTTCATTGGGCTCAGAGGGGTGGGTTGATGGAAGGGTGGGGTACTAGGGTCAAGTGTCGGGGGTTTGAAGTAAAAGATCTACCCGCCCTATTCGTTTGATTTGACTTTTCGTGGACCCCACCCCACCCAAGACCCCGTAGGACAATTTCGCAACGGTGGGTTGTAGTTAATATAGTTGTAAGGAAGTGCATCTCGGCTGAAAAGAAGCGATTTCGAGAATCAGCCCCTGGGGATACGGGGGTGGTAGGCTTGGTGGTAGGCCTCCATGAAAACCTAGCAAACAGTCTTGACTTTCAGTCGGCGCCGGTTGTCGGTTTCCGGGTGCCGGGCCCGACCGGTCCTCGTGCTTGCTGATTTCACTCATTTCTGAAGAGTAAATTTTTGTCGGGCGATGCTCGACAGGTACGAGCGCAGGATGCGACAGCGTTAGCGGCCTCCACTAGACAACGCCCACCATGTCGATACCATGTCCTGCCAGGTTTTCCACAAGGAGACTTCGATGGGCTATCGTTGCCTTCATCATCTTGATGCAACTTGTAGCCGTCATCTTTTCTTCTATCGGTCAGGTCTCCTGGTTAGACATCCTCATGCCTGACCCATTCAGAGATGGCGTCATCGCAAACATGTCCCGCAGATCCTCGCAGATATGTCTTGCTCAGGCTCGTAAGGTCGAGGGTGTCTATGTGGACCCGAGGCTGCGCCAGCCAGGCAACCTCGTCGTGACCGCCGCCAACCATGGTTACCTGGACATGCTGGATAGCTGGATGTGCTTTGCGGACAGGACAGGCTGGCAGTACTTGGTGCTGGCGTTCGATCTGAAGCTGTACAGACACATCACCCACGCCCATCCGAACAAGACGTCGTGCCCTGTCTTCGACAGCAAGGTGGAGCTGTCAAGACCGAGTAATTTCCAGTCTTCAGTCTTCAACATTGTATCTTGTCTGAAGATCAAGGCAGTAGCCAACCTTCTCCATCACGGGTACTCGGTGTTATTCCTCGACGTGGACGTGCGATGGAAGCAAGACATCTGGAAGATCGTCAGGTCGTCGCCGTGCGACTACACGTTTCAGATCAACCGGCATGAATACCAAGGCGTCCCCTTCACGTACAGCGGGAGCGATGAAGGGAACACGGGGGTGTACTACGCGAAGCCGACGAGGGCGGTGAGAGACCTGTTCCAGCAAGTAGCCAACGGGTCTTGTCTGTCGCCGCTGGAGCTTGACGATCAGACGTTGTTTTGGAACGAGCTGCGATCACGGTTCTTGAGTCAGCGGGCGGTTTTCTTCCACGAGGCAGTGAACGGGTCGTCAGCGCATCCAGCGTGGCAGACGAAGCTGCCGGCAGACAAGCTCAGCTTCTGCCCGTTTGACCCCTACCAGATAGCCTCGGGCTGGGCGCTGAGAGTGACAGACGAGGCGCGGGAGGCGCTTGGTGTGCTTCTTGTGCATGCCAACTATCTGGTGGGGAAGAGGCCGAAGGTTGAGAACCTGCAGAGGATCGGGTACTGGGACTGTCCGCCTGCACAGAAGCAGCATGAATGACGTAGATGTTTTGCGGGTCTTGATTGTGCTGTATGCACATTGAGATTTCAACACGGTCATTGCAATCTCACGCAGAGATGAAGCTGCTTGATTTGCTTTGCCTCATATGGGAGTTGTTGAAGCCTGCGAAATTTTGAGAAACTCCATTGGCATGCGAAGTCAGATTGACGAAGACAGAAACTATGGCTGATACAACCCGGAGTGGGGTGGGGGGGGGGGAGGGCGGGGGGGGAAGAAATGGAGGATGGAATCGATAAACAAATAGTTTTCAAAGAAGTAGTGAGGAAGGTTTGGGTGAGACAGACAGGAATGCCATGATGAAGCCGAGGCAGTTGAACACCAGGACGACTTGATGATGACAATTACGACATCGCGGGGGATGAAACCGAAGTTGAACTGAAGCATTACCTCTGAAAATGACAATGAGGACGACGTCGAACGACGTTAATAAGACATATGATGGTGATGATGACTGTGAAGACGACGGAGCAGAAGCTGGTGAAGACAATGACCACAAACACGACAAATAAGAATGAAAGGAGGAGGAGGAAACGAGCTTAGCACGACCTGAAACATCAACATAGCGATTCAATAGATGATAGTGAATCGCTAATCAACTTTGTTTTTTCAATCCTTAGGTGAAGTCAGAGCAACTTGATGCTAATCTAATTACCCGGTGTCGTTGACCCTGACGATGCAGAAATCTTGACAGGTATCATCGCCTCAAAGGCGTTCTGACTTGCAATGGAATGAATCACTACAACAAAAGAGTTGAAGCAATCATCGCAACCCGGAGAAAAATCAATCACACCCGTGAATTTCAAGTTCAGTTACCCTCGCTCATCTCTTCATTTTGAAGACCGAATGAAACGAACGCTCTCTCACATAAACATGATGCGAATTTGTTTCGAATTGCTGTAAAAACATCTACGTCATTCATGCTGCTTCTGTGCAGGCGGACAGTCCCAGTACCCAATCCGCTCTGCAGGTTCTCAACCTTCGACCTCTTCCCCACCAGATAGTTGGCATGCACAAGAAGCACACCAAGCGCCTCCCGCGCCTCGTCTGTCACTCTCTTAGTACACCCCCGTGTTCCCTTCATCGCTCCCGCTGTACGTGAAGGGGACGCCTTGGTATTCATGCCGGTTGATCTGAAACGTGTAGTCGCACGGCGACGACCTGACGATCTTCCAGATGTCTTGCTTCCATCGCACGTCCACGTCGAGGAATAACACCGAGTACCCGTGATGGAGAAGGTTGGCTACTGCCTTGATCTTCAGACAAGATACAATGTTGAAGACTGAAGACTGGAAATTACTCGGTCTTGACAGCTCCACCTTGCTGTCGAAGACAGGGCACGACGTCTTGTTCGGATGGGCGTGGGTGATGTGTCTGTACAGCTTCAGATCGAACGCCAGCACCGTGGCAAGTACTGCCAGCCTGTCCTGTCCGCAAAGCACATCCAGCTATCCAGCATGTCCAGGTAACGCCATGGTTGGCGGCGGTCACGACGAGGTTGCCTGGCTGGCGCAGCCTCGGGTCCACGTAGACACCCTCGACCTTACGAGCCTGAGCAAGACATATCTGCGAGGATCTGCGGGACCGTGATGATGTTTGCGATGACGCCATCTCTGAATGGGTCAGGCATGAGGATATCTGCCAGAGAGGTCTGAGCAGCTTCATGGATTGTGGATCAGAGGCCAGTAGTCACAGAGGTGAGAACAACCGTCAGGCCCTTTACTCAAACCGTCAGGATGACGAAGGCAACGTGAGCAATATGTCCTGCATGACTCTGTGAGTACGGTCGGTCACCTGGGCCGCCGACGACCGGGGCCCGGCTCGGGGTCGCTGCGGCAACTTGAATAAGTTTGACTAGCCTAGTAGGTTTTTTCCTTGTCTAACTAATACTGCGATGCATCGATGCTGACATGAGGCTTGAGGGAGGGCTTGCTACTGTGATGTATGTGCGGACAACATGATAGATGTCAAGCTGAGATCAATGCCGAATTGAAGGATTTTGAGAATGTTGAGAATTTTTAACTAAGATGCATCTGCACTTGGAAATGAAAGTAAATGAAAGACGATGGTGAGTGCTGGTTTTTGCTTAAGTGAATACAAGGTCACTGACCATTACCGAGAGGCAGAAAGAGAACGTTAGCGGCATGGCAGAGGCAAACAAATCCCGGAAACTTCAAACCCGATCGAAGAAAGCTGGTAAGCCGCTCAGAAGGTTAATCAAATGGTCAAAGAACCAGGGGGACCTGTCACTGTAATGCCTTATTCCTCACGCACATGCTTCTCTGAATGTCATTCCAGGCATCAAGAGCTCTTCGCCGAAGCGATCACACATTATTCCACTGCGATAAATGCCGGTAGTCAATGTCTCTCTGATTCAAAACTCGCAGTCCTCTATGCGAACAGGTCGGTTTGATCTCGCTGATTTTCACATTTCATTCAAGTACATTTGACTTCGCATGCAAGGTCTGCAGCACATCTTCGGACTGAAGACTACAAAGCAGCGCTTGAAGATGCAGAAAAAAGCGTGTCATTAAAACCGAAATGGTCCCGGGTAAGAATTCTAATTTTCATTTCTTCTGGAGATCACTGGTGGGTCAAAGGCATGGGTTCGCAAGAGCGAGGCTCTGGATAAGCTAGGAGAGTCCAAACGAGCTCAGGCGGCATCTCGACAGGCTGCTTTCTGGGGAGAAGGCACCGGTCTCGCCGAGCCACAGCCGAAGTCAACAGAAAATGATTCCAAGGAGAGGAAGGAATTCGAAAAAATGCCCTCTTTCAACTTTTCTTGGATCAGTTCGTGGAGAAGCTTGCTCGATAGCCAGCTGCTCTCCATCCCCCCGTCTGGAGATTCATCGATCAGTCAAGGCAGTGACGAGCACACAAAAAGAAAAACATTGTCCAGGGACCTCATTTTTGAGGGATTGGATGCAGACGAGTCGATTTTGGAGCTAGACAAGAGGTAGATGTTTCACATCATCGCTTCTCTGCTGATCTTCAACCTGTTTCAAGGTTGCAAGAAGCAGTCTACACAGCAGAGATCAACTCTGCTTCGTGTGTAGATGCACCGCCCCCAACCCCAAGCAGCCCAGACACTCCGAAGAGGGTGTGGGATTTCCTTCGAAACTCGTCGAGCCCAGGAGTGAAGCAGAATCCTGATTCTCTCTTCGGTGAGCAAGGCCAAGAGAGTCCTTCTCTCAACGCCTCCAAGAAATCTCTCAGCCTTGGATCTCCCAACTTGAAAGCAAAAAGTTCCTCCAGACTTGGTGTGGTACTAGAGGGAACGAAGCCTAAGAACGTTCGCTTCCCAGAGAACGAAGTGCAATCGGTGTGGATCATGAGGTTCGAGTCCATTGGCGGTGCTTCTATTGACGGCTAACGATGCGCTTCAACAGTGTCGATGGAGAAACTGGTGCAAAGGTCAACAGGAATGACAAGGCGATTTCTAACTCGATGGTCCAGAAATTTGCCGACGCTCTCCAGGAAGAGAGACGGCGCTGGGGCTTCTGGAAGAAGAAACAGAGCGAGCAATGAAGCTGGCGAACACAACTTCCGTGTTTCTTCATACTTGACCCTGATTCTTGATTCCAGCAGCTCTGATTCAAACTGAAAGCTTTCTCAACCGAATCGACGTGAAGAAAGTACAGAGCTTCGAATGACTTGCATGTCTAGTCAAGTTACGAGTGATTGTTCCAGCATAGACATAATACCGAGTCCCGGCGGACCTGGTCTATGTCAAATCAGCTCTCAGACGGTGCCAGCCAGTGCTTCATCATCGTAGTCCGATCATCGAAGTGACCGCTGTGGTTGGCTGTGACATTGTCAGGAACAACGATCAAAATAAATGATAGCCAGGCTAGTACGGTAGCCCTCTCCCTGGCTTGCATTGTAAGGACGTTTACTGTAAGCGGCATTACACTTCAAGATACACAAAGGTTCTAGTGACGCTCCGGGGCAAGGCCGAAATGTCAGGCTGAGCTGCCGGGCGACTATCACAACGGACAAGTTGCCCAGCAGCTCAGTCTGAGCTGCCGGGCCCAGTATTGTCACCCGGCCGTACGGTAGCCCACGGCCCGGCCAGCGGCCGCCGCTCGGTCCGATCACCGAGTGACTCACTGAGGTGAGTCGGCGGTTGAGCAGCCGTTAAGCACATTTGACTTTTTTTATTATTGCTCTTCCATGGCATTACAACGGCATGCGCAAGCAAGTTGATGGTGATAGGCTGAGGAGAAGCGCAAGAGCAGCAGGTTGACACGTGGAGCTCAAACGAAGATTCCCTCCAGCCATGGCAGAGGAAGGAGGCAGCATGCTGCCGGGAGAGACGTTTGAAACTCCGGAGAAATCAGAGTATCTCGGGTTTTCCAAGGAGAGCCCAGCAGAGGCTAACATTGTGGATCAAGAGTTGGAGAAGAAGAATGTGAAGCCACAGCTGAAGCTCAAGATGCGTGGTGATCATGCAGGTGGAAAGCTAAATGAAACCATACAGCATTGCTCGTACCTCGCTCACACCATCACTGTCTTGTGTCTGGCAAGCTGTTTCTTTCTAATCGCCACAAGGGAGTACAGGCTTCATATGGGGGTCACCCAGCTTGAGACGGAGGAGTGTAAGGTTGCTGTCTCAAGAGGCCATCGATGCAAGCTGGTTTGATCTTGCTGGTCCTGATTGGAATCTTGACTGCTGGTTGCAGCTCCCGGGCAACGTTGAAGTCCTCAGAAGCATCGGATGTTTGTTTGCAGTGGCAGCCTTCTTTCAGCTGCTTCGTTATCTTCGCAGCCATTTGGTTATCAAGGTAAGTGGAGGACGCGGTGGATAGGGGACGTACTCACCTAGCCTTGCAGGAGTTGGTTCATGATGCTCCTCTGACATTCAGTCCCACCTTGGACGTCGCGATCTTTATCTCATGGTGACCGATGCTTTCGATGATGTTATGAACCATTACAACTGATCACTTGTTTAGGTATGCGGTTGAAGGATTCATTTTGATGCCTGTCAATCCTCCGTTCTCAAACTACGAGGTTTAACCATGCTCCCTGGCCAGTGTCCATATTTCCTCCTTCCCATCTGCCTCAACCTCCTCCTGTTCTTCTGCTGCATGCTCTGCTTCCCTATCCGTGTTTGGCCCTCACTTCGTCTGCCTTTCTTCTTTCTTGCTATCTCCGCGCTCTACTCTCCAAGTGCCTTCTGATAAGACTTCAGATTGATGGGAACGTTCGACCTGATGGAATGCAGTCGAGATATCATGCAGGTGGCCAGAATCAGCAAGCAAGAAATGTTCTACTGAAGTTTGTTGAATTGCAGATGATCTGGGAGCATTCTTTGGACTGTTGGTATTCTTATATCCAAACACCGATATCGCAACTGAAAAACTCCATTCAGAGATGCTTCAGTGTGTTCCGATCTATCAAACATTTGTTTTGGAGAGAGATGAGGTCTTGCGATGAACTCTTGACGTCTTTTTCTCACTGAAAGGGACCAACCCAGGCTTGCTCGATCTGTACAGATTGCCCGGATCATGGGCCTCCAATCTTCTCTCCCTTCTTCCGACGAGTTTGTCAGCCGGGTACTGCATTTCACTGCTGACAGATGAGATGACATCTTGTATGTGTGCAGTGGGTGCTGGGCAAACGTCCCGTCAGCTGTGTCATCTTCGTTATGGTCTTCGCGATCCTCGTCCTCGCATGTGAGAAGTGAAAACGTCCAGCTGTTTCTCACCTTCCCTGGCGGGTTCAGATGCGATTCGGATTGCAGAACTGCCTGTCAACGCCCAGCTGACAGGGAGTGACTTCTACTTCTTCTGGTATGGAGGGAAGGGTTTGGCGTCAAGAGGGTTTAACGTCAAGGCGATCAGGGACAGTGTGAGGACAGTGGCACTTGCTTTCTTTGGGATGTTGAACGAACAATCGTATGCTCAATCTCACTTTGGACAGGTTTGCCTCCCTTGTGACGTCGAATCCTTCTGTATGCTGACGAGATTATATACAGATCGTGTTGGTGTTAACTGCTCTGCTGGGAACTGTGTGGGCAATCTTCTTGTTCATCGCCCTGCTCAACAGGTCTTGTGATCACTTTCTCGATGAAACAGCTGTTGAATGTTTTTCAAAGCTCGAAGATGTCAAGCGACATGACGCAGCTTCTTCTCTGCATTGATCGAGCGGCAACATCACCATCGCATTACCTGCAGCCGTGTTGACAATCAGTGATCAGGTGAAACTTGAGGAACTCAAGATTTCAGCCGCGACCTTGCTTGCCCGGTAATCACTTCATCTGTATTCTCAGACTCTCCCTCCTCCCTACCGCTCATTCCTAACCTTAATTATCCCGTCCTTGTTTGACCCGCACCCTCTGCCATCTGTTCTCATCGTCCTCTGCTGCTCTCACCTTTCTCCCAGCTGGTGGAAGTTTCAGAGGCACCATGACAACTCCGAACTTCTTCGTCACAGCAGCGGAAAACTTTTCCCCTCGCTCCCATCAGAGGACGCATCCATGAAACAGCGCAGAGTCATGTTCGAACGCACGTGCGCGATCCGAGCTCCATCCGTGCTGGAGAAGTTTCTTCAGCTTGCCGAGGTGAGAAAAGCCTCGCCGAGCTGGGAGTGAGTCATGTCCGCAGCTGGTGAGGATGAACCAGTCGATCCGATCCTTCAGGAGGTTGAGAATGGAGACGATGAGAGCTGCTGCTGCTCTCAGGCCTGTCGATCGCCTGGTCTCGTCGCTGGATGTTGACAACAAAGTAGTTTGACTAGCTCGTCAAGACTTTTCCCGTGATTGACATCATCGTCTTTGACAGCTCCAACACACAAGAAGCATCAAGACCGTCAAGTCAGTAGAGAAGACCCTTCTGAATCGTCTGGAGCGAGGCAACGGACAAGAAGACATACAACTGGCTCGCTGACTCGTGGTTGCCTCAGATTACAAGAATACTTCTGAGATGATCGAGCAAATGATCAAGTATGAAACTTCTACCCCTCCCAACCTTCTTACTCCCCTTGGAACAGTCAAGCTCAACAGATTTACTCTGAGAGTGCAGTGAAGATCTCAGGTAGTGCTCAATCCTGTATTTGCACCACTTAGAAATGCAGTGCACGGATGGAGATCGGTGATGTTTTCCATCCCTACTCTCTCGTCTTCATATCCCTTTCCATTCCTTGTTCTAGTTCTCATCACTTCATCTCACCTCTTACTTCATCCGTATGTTCGTCTGCCCTTCTGTACTGTTCCTGTCCTCCTGCTCAACTTTCTCTCCTCAGGGCTTGAGCAGCGATCACTCAACGCAGTCGAGAGCCAAGAGGCCCTTGCGCAGAGCCTTGAGAAAGTAGAGGCCCTCTTCATCCTCCTTTGGCCTCGTCTTCCTCCTCTTCTTTCCCTGCTCTCTTCCCGTTGCCCTCCCACTACCAGCCCGCTCCTCTTTCTCACGCTTCTGCTCAGGTCAGTTCACAAGTCCTCACAATCCACAGCACAGTCTCCACGAGGTTCAACGCGATAGAGGAGATGATCGAGGTCAGTAACGCTTTCTAGAGGATTCCTGAGCTGCTACTGCATTGGTCAACCCCCATGTCTGTCACTTGTGTCGACGTAGCTCCTCATCGTCATCTACTCTCATCTTGTGATTCGCCTGACTTTTTTGTCCTTCTCTCTCTCCTTCTCTCTCTCCCTCCCTCCCTCTCTCCCTCTCCCTCTCTCAGCGTTTATCACGGCAGCAGGAAGTAGGAAGGTCGACAGTGAGCTATCACTCGACAGAATTCTTCCAGGACGATGCCATCACGGATCACATCGAGCAGGTCAACTACTCGCCCCCATGACAACCTTCTCGGCATTTAATTTTCCTCCCTTCTTTCCCCTAGTCACCCCCCCCCCCGCCCCCTCCCGGCTCCACTACTCTGCCCTTTCCCTTCCCTCTCCTTCCCCTCCTTCTCCTTCCTCTCCTTCTCGTCCCCGTCCTCCATCTTCACTCCTGATGCCTCAGCAGAGCTCATCCAAGAGTCCAGTCGCCAGCAACACGTCCGAAACCTCTCACAGAAGGTAACCTGCTTCCTTACCCCTTGCGCTGCTTACACACGTGGGTGAATAGGCAAGCGAACAAAACAGAGTCAAACCAGCCGCCCACCGATACATCCGACGTCAACTCCTCGCTCGCTTCTCCTCCACAACGAGGTAACTTGTCGTGATGAGAATGGATGAGGCTGAACCGATAGATCGGATAGAAATTGTCATGTCAGTCAAGAACAATGCTCCGGACATCATCGATCAAGTGAGCTCGTCAGACATCAAGGGTTCGTATGCTACACATACAGATGTTGTCTGATTTGGCTGCAAGGAATGCTGGCGAGGTTGAAAGCAAAGAGCTCGAACATGTCGAGCACACGATGAGGAGAACAAGGCCGTCAACACTCTATCTACTCTTTGATTGCATTTTCTTTCAGCAGCGTGTGAATGAGACGAGGAAGCCCCCGATTCATCCTCTACTCCCCTCCTCTCACGTTCTCTCATCTCTGATTCTAGCTCCTCTCCTCTCCCCTCCCCTCCCCTTAAACATACATCCAACGCGATCAAACAAACATGCAACGCGATCAATCTTTACAAGAGGTTGGGATTGGCGATCATAATCGAATCGAACACGAAGAAGATCGCAGTCTCATGGCCCACCTACTCCTCCGACGAGCCAAGCGCTGAAGAGCTTCACTGGCAACTTTCAGTGTCACGCACCCATGGAAATCGCTCGGCAAGGCGTCCCACCAACAAACGCAGTCGTCCTCCACATACAGCATAGGCCTCAGTCTGCTTTAGATTGCTTCATCCCCTGGTACTTCCCATCCCCAGGGGCAGGCTGCCGTCTTTCTCGCATTATTGGTTGTTAGATAGGATTGAATATCCAGAACCCTTGCGCCACTGCTCCTTGTCCTGATCCTTATTCCCCTGCATCTCGTGCATGCCGCCGCTCATGTGGTTGGACTAGAGATTGCGTTGTCTCTTCTTTATTTTAGTTGGCTGCCTCTTCCTTCTTTTTTTCTCTTCTCAGCTGCTTGTTGACTTGCCGTTTTGCCTCAGCCACGATGGCGACGAATCTTTGAAGCTCATTCCTCTCCTTCGCGTCAGTTACAATTCTTACAACATCCGAGTCAGGCCTGCTGTGATCGAAAGGCCTCCAACGAGTTTTGTTGCCAGATTCTTTGAGCATGCCTCCCAATATTGGAAAATCGCTGGAATATCTCTTGCGCCAAAAATCTTGAGACGATAGCAGATAGAATGGCAACACGAAGAATGGAAATAAAAAGTCACAATCGATCCTGACATCTTGGTCAGTTGGAAGTCCTTGCGTTCAATCTATGCAGCTGCTCTCACATTGAATTGTCCCTGGTGATATTCACGATATCTATCAACCACTGTTTTCTTGATTGCTTACGGAGGGTCTGAAAGGTACATCAGGCACAACAAACTTCTGCTTTCAAGACTTTCCTGATAAGTGTCAGTCATGAGAGCAATCAGCAGGTTCATGAGGATGACGTTCAAAACAACGTAAGTTAAAACAAAAACTGCAATCGATGTGTCTGTGCAAGGCTTGTTAGATCGCAAGGGGTTCACCGCCAAAACAAAAACACCGTTTGTAATCTCTTGCATGCTTACTTCTCCCCAGGACTGCAGACCCGTCACAACTGCTTCCAGTTCGCATTAAGGATTACGATCAATAAGGATCGATAGATCCACCAGGTGCTGTAGCATGTCACGTAGTTGTAGATGTCAAGCTGTTCCATATCAACGTGGCAAGTGTCTTGTAAGGGCTTACAACCAATGAGCAACTGCCTCTCAATCCTGTTGCAGTTTCGATTACCTTGATCAAAGTTGCCCCAAGCAATAGGATAGATAGAGCCATCAGGAAAATGAAGTATCTGCAGAATCACAAATAATTACAACAAAAGAATCGTTTGTCAAAAGACCTACACGATTAGAAACTGTATGGTGATCATGCTTATTCTGAAGATAATCCAAATCTGTGTACATTATCTGATTGTGTCGAAATCTACTGATGCCTTACCAAAACACCGATTTGTTGATTGACAAGACAAAATTGAAGAAGACGTAGATAGGAGAAGAAAAGGCAGACGCAGTAGGAGAAACGAAAAGATACAAAAGGCGTTGAGAAGCCAATCCTTGCAGAACAAGGATTAATTTCGACAACCAACGTTCCGGGTGTTGGTTACATGTCTTGCGTGAAATCAATTTCACGACATGTTTCGGTATGACGTATACATTGCACGTGCCTAGCAAGACCAACAGCGTAAGCCACAAAAGCTACGAGGTCTGAGTACATCCTGCAGCAAAGCAACGTCAATTTTGATACGAATTTTGATGAAGCACCATAAACATACCAAGCAACAAAGTCTAAATTACTGTCAGTCACGCCTGACGGAATGCTTGTCTCTTTCTCCGTCTGCATAAGAACAAGACTCCCACGAATGAAAGATGCGATGTAATGTCTGCAAGCAATCAACGTCAAGCCGCTCATCATCACAAAGATCTTTGGTTGCACCCGAGCAACAACCACTCCAAGATATGAATTTCATGTAGTTTGATGGAGAACTCGTACGTTGGATACACTACAAGGGTAAAGCAGATCGTGGCAGCAAGGCGCTCTATCCCCTTCCAAACAAAGATGGAAATGGGGGAGAACATGCAACAGCCTGCAGCGGAGATGTCACGTTATCGCTTCCAGGGCTGCAGTGGTGAACGTTTACCCCATCGATCAAACACGCTCGGTTCTTTAAGTTTTTCAAATCGCTGCGTCACGGATCGAAGCTCCCGGTATCTGCGAGGTGACTTCAGAACGTTTGCCAGCAGTGAATGAGTTGTGCACGTGAAGCTTCCTGTGCTCGGCCGATAACGAATCCCAAAGCCCCCGGTCATAGCGGGGAGACCGAGAAGAAGGACCCCAAGGAAAACCGACAAGACGGGGGTCGAGGGATCGAGATCACCGTAGAGGTTCCCTATGATCGTTGGTTCGCAGCATTCGTCGAGAAAGACTTGCGAGCCATTGGCAGCCAAGTCTATGAGTGTATACTTACCCAAAATTCTTGTTCGGATATTCAAAATCTGTCAAACGCTTATCAATCACGTAGAATATCCACGTCAGGCGTGTATTCACATTTTCGATTCCATGAATGCTCTCCTTCGCTTTATCATTTTTGATTGAATGATGATAAACCTCAATAGCATTTCTTTCAAGATGATCTGCCTTCTCTTCCATCAAAATCCTCTTTGTCGTGTTGACCTCCCGCAATGACTTCCTTCGCAAGTAGCCTACTGCCTGCAAACAAGAATGACAAGGCTCTGAGAGGGTAAAGAGCAGTACCATGAGGGCATAAGTGATCGAATTGATTGGCTCAGTCCAAAAAACTCCAGGTTTGTCCATATCAGGGATCCAAAGCCTCCAGATCAAGTCTGCAAGATCAAACTTTTGTGTGACGACACTGGACAAGAACAAGTCAGCCAAGGGACCATCTGCACCCAAGTTGTATTGAACTATGGGAAAACCCCTCGAGCGTAGTTTGCTTCTCATCTGCCTTTGTTTCAAGACCAACTGAGAAATTACTTCTTCTATCTCAGGATCGATCTCGTTGCGGACATTTGCAAACTCTGAAATGTCAAACAACCTAGTCTCATCCTGGTACCTTCTGAAATCTCTCTTAGGGAGTCCAGCGTGTGTCGTTTCCTTCTGCACTTTGGGCATTAAATCATTCAGAAGCCTCAACCGTCTTCTTGCTTCCTTCGATTCCTTTGAAGTCATGAGTCCGCTTCCCCTAGTAAAGGCAAGCTTTGACTCTTTCCAACCAATGCGCAGAAATTCAAGATGAGGTACTTCTTGAAGCAACACCTCAACCATTGCAGCTGTTGAGTTGCAAAATGCAAACACAAACTCATCTTCGATTACTTCATGGACGTATCGCTTCATTGTCACATCTTTCCACGCACTTGCGATCGTTTGCGACAAAACATGGGGACTTTGAAACTTGATGGCTAAATTGAACTTCTTATGCAACGCTTGCGTTATCAATTCATCCTGTTTCGAGAACTCAAGGTTTTTTGCCGCTTCTTGTTGATCAATATCGATTTTTTTCTGCAACTGATTGTCTACCTCATGCAGAAGACAATACAACATTGCATCTTTGAAGTCTCCACTTTGATGTCCTTCGTTGATTTCGAAAATCCAGCACTTACCGCTGTTGGCTAATGTGAACAATTGATGTATGAGCAGTGGACTGGACTCGGGCAGTTGGTACATCTCCAAGAAATCTTTCCATGACCTGTCTGGCTCAAATATCCGAGATATCTTCTGATCATCACTTGAAGTGATTGTCCACTGCCCAGTTTCATACTTGGTTCCACACAAGCTTTCAAAATAATCGCATAAAGCTCGTTGCCTCCTGTCAAAGCAAGCACTATCCATTCGCCCCTTACTCCCCATGGGAAAACACAACTTCACCGCATCACTGATCAGATCTGCTGCTCTGCCACTCCCGTCAACTATCATACACGGAGTGCCCTGTTCAACGGCATCCAACACTGTCTTGACTGCGGAGAAATTTCAGTTTCTAGGCATCAGACAGGCTCCTTACGAACCTGATCCCAAGCCTCCTTGTACACAAACCGAGAGTATCATTTTCTCAGCGGAATTCTCAGAGATGATTCTTTCAAGTCCCGCCCTAAAACTAGTTTCCTCTCCAAAACGCTGGCACCATTCTTTTCTCACGCTCTCATCGCTTAAGCTTTCGACAAGAATGAAGTGTGAGTGATTCAAATCCTGAAAGATGATTCATCATTCGTTTCTGGCACACATCCGCAGGTCTTGCTCACCAACAAACATTTTTCTTGCACTGCTTCATTGCCAGGCGGCTCGGCGCCTAAACCATCTTTGTTTTCCCCATCAGAGAAATCTGCTCGTTCTCGGTTTGTGACATCTTCAGCGCACTGCTGTTCGGACGATCCAAGGGTTCTTGTCTCTACCAGTTCAGAGTCTGTTTCCTGTCCTTCTTCTGACTCCTCGTTCTCCTGCACCATCTTACACTCATCAGCGCCCAGAAAAATCTAGCGTTCACTCGCAAGTACCTTGGGCATCTCGATCACAGCAGAAGGTGCAATACCCAACAGGTTCACATTCATTGCATACTTGGCTCGAGCTTTTCCGACAAATCTATCAGCCATCAGAGCTAACAGGAGAAGCTCAGTACGACTTCATAATGCCGTAGCGCGTCCCTCCAGTGACAATCAAGGGGTTCAGCTTCTTGATGCTGTCCATCAATTCTTGTAAGATGAAGTCGGTTGATCGATCGCTTATTTCGAACTCCAGCGCCTGCAACAATTATTCAACGATGGGCGGATACGAAGATAGGTAGAGCGGACCCCCCCCGTCAGAGATATCACTATCCCAGGACAAGTCAAGTCCTTCCAATCATCTCGCTGCTTCATGGCCTCATACACCCTCTTGGGCGCACTTGCAATCCTTCTGCTTGAGATATGAATGCATTGAGGTGGGCTGGACGTTTGCTGGATGGGCCAGCAAATTTTCGAGAACCCAAGATCTGCTGGCGGCGAGCCAGACTCTTCGCATTCATCAATCTCTCTCTGATCAAGCTCCTCGCCGCTGGCTTGCCTGGCTTGGCAGCCGCTGTTGCTGGCGGGCAGGGTTGTATGTTGGGGAGGAGCTGGGAGGGATACTGGGGTAGCATGCTGTGCGTCTGAAGCTTGAGGCGATGGGTTCAAAGTTTTTGCTATCTCTCTGATATTTTGTTGTAGGCCTTGTTGTGTGAGCTGGGTTTGCTGCGTGATGGCATCGTGCAAGGCCGCTTCGAGTTTGGAGTTAGTCTTGATCGCTTCCTCTAGGCGGAGCTTGAGCGAGGAGTTAGTCTTGATCGCTTCCTCTAGGCGGAGCTTGAGCGAGGAGTAGGTTTCTTCGGGCTCTGGCTCTGGCTCTGGCTCGACCTGAACTGCGATTCCGAAGCAGCTCATCTCCTCTTTGCTCAATCTCCCCGTGACCCTGCTGGGCGAGCGCTGGTTTGAAACTTTCTTCACTCTCAAAGTTTTAAGTTTGAAAACCGTTGAACTTTTGACTGACGATCCGGCGCTGCCCGGCGGCCGGGCCGGCGGCCCGGGTGCCGGCACTGAGTGTCCGGCGGAGAAGTTGCCCGACTGAGGGTTGACAGCAGCAAAGAAGTGACTTGAGGGTACGCCCACAGTCGGAATGTCATCCCTGGAACTTAGGGGGTAGGGGTACTGAAGAAGGGGTCATTTTTAGAGGAAATGTAACGAAAAGACAGGGGTTACCAAAGAACAAAGGGGGTCTGAAGTGAGCGTGATTCTCAAGGTTAATTTTGCATGCTGGGGGGTAGGTTATCTGTTAATAGATTGTAGAAGATGTCAAGTCACAGCAGAAAGGTCAGGAGAGGGGTCAAAGGTCAACGAAAGACTAAGAGAAGCTCTAAGTAAAAAGAGGCTACTCTCTGACTCCAGGGAGAACAAAATACCATCTTGCAAGGAATGTGCATACATGATTCCATGAAGCGAGGGAAGGGAGGGAGGGAGAGGAAAAGATGGCAGATGAAGATGAGAGAAAGACGTGTATCGTTCACATATCTCGACACTCTGTTGCTCAACAGCTTGTCTAATGTGCGGTGTTGGAAGATTTTGTGCTTTCCTATTATTATTATCAGATCCTCGCTTCCTCCTAATCTTGGTGTACCAGTCTTGCTCCTTCCGATGGCGGCAGTCAATGGACAATCGGCCGATCCTCCTCGAGCTCCCAAGGACAAGTTTCTTGGTGGCACCATTGCTCAGGGCCTGCCTCCAGAGAACAAGAGGTTGAAGTGCGGGAACTTGGATAAGGTTCTTTTTCACCCTGCCTGTTCGCTCCCATGCTAATCTTTCTTTGCCTCCTTCCCGTTCAGTACGCTACATCCTCTGCGAAATGGCAGCCGAGACAGGTCCTATATCCTGCTGCACACATCGCTGACGAGCATGCGAGCAGGTGATCGTAACGAAGAAGCTGCTGATGATCTGCAAAATGGACTCGGAGATCGTCAGCGAGACTATCCCCCTCCACGAGGTCGAGTCGGTCGAGGCTGTGCGGACAGCTCGAGGCGGCAAAGAAGGAAGGTGAGCGGGTGGGCAACGTGGAGGCGCTGCTGACTCTGACGGCAGGATGACTACAGCCAAAGAATGTACACCCTCTTGCTGTAGAAGGAGGAGGCTGATGATGATTTGTTGCCAGATCTGCAGCACGACAACGACGACACATGCGGAAACACAGCGTACTCTTTCGAGGTCACGACATCGCAGGATGGGTACAATGCAGGAAGAAGCTACTCGTTCAGAACGTTCGTGTCAGCAGACGAGCGAGACACTTGGGTAGAGTTCCTAAGGACCGTCGTCCGAGCTGCCATCGAGCTGGAAAGGAGAACTAATCCCAGCATCTCGATGTATGCCAGGATACAATGGAGCGTGAAAACTTTCTTTGAGAGCAGCACGGTGAACGTTCTCATCTCCACAATCATCCTGTCCAACTTTGTGATCAATATGCTCCAAGCGGAGATTCAGCCGAAATCAGGCTCAGCTACAGAGAGGACTTTCAAGTATCTGGACATCTTCTTTACTCTCGTCTACACCACTGAGCTAATCTTCCTGCTGATTGCGTATGGAAAAAAGTTCTGGAGAGACGGCTGGAAGATTTTCGACTTCGTGGTAAGGCAGCAGGAGAGCAAAGCTATGAGCTTGACAATGATGTAGATCGTCGTCGTCAGCATCGTCGGCCTCGGCATATCGGAGACGGTAAGGCTGACATGCTTCATGACAGTCAGCAACTGTGACATCTAGTCCTATCTTGCCTCTCTAGAACAAGCTTCAAGTTCTCAGGCTGATTCGCGTGTTTCGAGCGGTCAAGTCGCTTCAGTTTCTCTCATCCTTCAGGCAGATCATAGACGCGCTTGCGTGAGCTCATCGTTTGCTCTCGCTCCTGCCACAGGCTTGACGATGTGTCATCAGATTGGCCGTGTTCCCGCTATTGAGCGCGTTTGTGATACTTATGCTCATTACCTGCATTTACGCGGTACTTGCCGTCAACATCTTCAAGGACTCCGACCAGGAGCTGTTCGGCGACTTCAAGCGTTCGCTCTTCACCATGTTCACGGTGTGTTGCCACGAAGAGGTGGAGGCAAGCTGGGCAGGTGACGGTGCGACGTCAGGTGAGCACCGGGGATGGTTGGGTGGAGATGTCGAGGAGCTTGTTTCCAGAGAGCGGCTTCGGCTCGCAGTCTGTTCTGTTCTTCTCGTCCTACATGGTCATCGGTGAGGGAGGTCGAGACGATGCCATGGAGAGAGTGAGCGGATGGCAGGAGGAATGATCGTCGTGAATGTCTTCGTGGCGGTGCTGCTGAGTAAGCCAAGAGATCCTGCAAGTTGAATGCTGATGTCTGTGCACGTCAGATGCGTTCGTCACATCGGTAGCAAGAGAGAAGGAGAGGAAGAGGATGCAAGAGATGAAGACCCTCAGCTCACTGGAGTCTCACCATGCCAGTCCTCTCGACCCGCTGCTGGCCACCCTGATCCACTACAACACGAGCGAGGACCTGAGCGAAAGGATCGCAAAACTTTTCTCCTTCCTGGACAAGGACGACAACCACAGCCTGTCCTACAAAGAGATCAATCGAGGCATGCGAACGCTCCACAGCACCAAGGAGATTCACTTCTCGTACGAAGACTTCGAGGAGGTCACGAACCACCTCGAGTATTGCGATCAGGAGCAGGAGGTTGACCCGGAAAACTTCGAGAAGATCATCCGCGAGCAGCTCAAGAAGTACGTGCAGAGAAAGATGGCAACGTCGCTCGTCTACAATGAGGAAGACTCTAGCGTTGGATCGATCCTCTTTGTCCTCAAGCAGCTCACACTCAACATCGACGAGGTCGGTTGATATTGACTCTAACCATGTTGTGACGAGATGCCTTCGTCAGATTGCCTCCAGACAGATCAAGATAGAGGATGAACAGTTGAAGATGCAGAGCCTGGTGACATGTGCACGCTGATGTTTGCTTCCTCCTGATGCATCCTGCTATCCTCCAGCTCCTTCACCTCAACGATCAGATGAGTGGATACAACGCCATGAAGAAAGTCGACAACCTGCAGAAGAAAGTCTCCGATTGTGATCGCAAGCTCGACGCGCTCATCAGGCTCAACATGGCTTCGCCAAACAGCCCCACTCCAGACAAGTCTGACAGCTCATGGAAGGGTCTCGCAATCGACAACTGGATCGGCCTGGTGCCGGGACACAAGACGAGGGAGGAGCGGATAAAGTCAGTTCCTATCACGACCTCCCTCCCGATACAAAGAGAAGACACGGAAGGAAGAGAGAAGAGCAAGTCGAAAAGGAGAAGCTCTGCCTTCCAGCTCTATGACGCCTACTCGTCGCTGCCCTCGTCACGTTCGAGCTCAGTTCATGCCCTCTCCTTGTCAAAGCCCCTGGACAGGGATAGTCAGAGCACCCTCGCTGTGGACCCGATCAAGAGATCGGAAAGTATCACCTTGGACCTCGAGTCGTCTGGACTCACCATGGTCAAGATCCCTCTTCCTAGTCACCATGCCTTCGAAGATGCCTCCGAAGACTTGCCAGCGGTGAGTCTGCTGTTCCCTGCTCCATCTCCTTCCTTGCTGACTCCTTGCGTCCTCCCTCAAGAGCCCCGAGCTGTGCAGTGGGTGCGAGCAGTGCCGGAAGGGGATAGCGCGGACGGGGGTGATGCTCTTCGACGCCAAGTACATGTATGTCGTCGTCGCTACCCCCTTCAATGAGAGTTCAGTCCCGCTCGCCTCCGAAATCCTCCCGTCATCGAAGGCTAGAGCCTCGGCAGGGCCACATGGATGGGACTGGGCACGCAACATGGCGACGCAGGTGCTGCTAGGGATGGGGCTACAGGATGCGCTTCCCCTTCCTCTCCCGCGGGCTAAGGTGAAGCAAGTGACATGTCGAGGAACCTCCCAGCTGAAGAGAGCGCAGAGCGTGCAGGTGCCCGCAGGAGACAAGAAGCATATCATCCAGCTGTTCTGCGTGAAGATGTAGATTCGGGTGATGACGCGTCTGCTGCTGACGTGAAGCCACAGGCTTCAGAAGAACCTCTCTCGACTTGTCTCCCATCAGGCACAGCTCACCGACGGGTGATCGTCCTCGTCCTCCTCCCGCCCCCCCTCCGATGGCTCACGGCTGGTCGCAGGAGGCTGGAACTCGCTGACACGAATCGCTCGAGCAAGTCGCTTCCACATCTCGTTAAGGTAAATACGGGGATGCAGAGGAGGAGGAGCTGACGAGAAGCTGGGGACCAGGTGGACGGGAGTACAATCAAGCTAATGGAAAAGGTACGATGAAATCGCTGTGCATTTTATCCCTTCGGATTGCTCACTGGCCTCTGTCAGTTGATGAGGAAGGAAATTGGCTCTACTGATGTCAGCTAGACGGATCGCTGACAAGAGTCGTGCATACACTCACAGCAGTAATCTCCTACCCTCATTCAAGATTGGTCACCGTGAGTTGACCGATAGGGCGAGATACACTGATTAGTGGTGTAAAACATCATATGTTGTTGCAAATAGATACGAAGCCGTACAGACTGAAGCTAGACATCTGACCCGGACCTGTTTTGACGCATGAGGCTCGTAGAGAGCTCCATCTTTCAGTTCGTCTAGACTACTAGCTAGCAGCGCCGTTCTTCATCGAACCCTTTGAGAGTCGGAGGTAAAAAAGCAAGTCCGCCCCACAAAAAGTAATGGAGAAAAGAAGAGGCAGCTCTCCGCAAATACACAAACCTAGTGCAATTGCTCGCTCACAGGCCTGGAGGCAGCACTCACTAAAGTTTGACCGGCTGGCCGGAGTGCGTAACTGCCGTGACTTGTTGTTTACTGCCTAACGTCGCTCTATGCACGAAAACTATTCTTTTCATCTGCCAGCCTCCAATTTAGACCAAAGTAACATCGAAAACCTATCTTTTCCAAGTAGATACAAGCTGACTTTTAAAAATTCACTAGTTTATATTTAATGATTTTTAAATCCTGTAAGTGTGCGAAAGAAGCTTCCGATCTCGGTTTGCAGATACCATTAAAGAACAGTTTTTCGTTATAAGGAGGCACACATGCTGACAGGTTTGATCAAATTCAGTACAAAACGATCCTTGTAGTAAAAACTGCTGGCTCCTTGATCTGCCCTTTCCCTTTCCCAGGCACGGAGGCTTGCGCGTCTTTCGATTCCCCTCTGCGTCTTTTACTTCCTCCCTCCTCTGCCTCCTGCCTACATACTCTTTAGTTTGCCCGCCTGAATCTCTCTCCTACCTTGCTGCTCCTCCTTGTCCTCTCCTATCCGTGATCCGACCTCCTTGCATCAATACAATCTCACGATATCCACGAAAATGCAATCTTCTACAAAGAGCCAGAAGTGCAGGAGCCGGTCTTCCTCTTTGGTCCAGATGGACATATCAATCGTTCTAACGCCAGCACCGGAAGATGTTGATGATGGCTTGCTTGAGCAAATGGTTTCACAGTATTCTGGGTCAATGGAAATATCGTACAAGAACCGGTGCTGTTAACGACCCAAGGCTGTATTTAAGATTTTGAGAAGATTGTTTTTTCGCTTCAAAGCATTGTATAGTATGATTTCGATATAAACTTGAGAAGATCATGACATCGCAAGTGCAAGCCTTGCATGACACCGTGCAAAATCTGTGTTCGTGGGAACGAGCAGAGTTTTATCGAACAAGAAGTTTAGGTGTAGTAGAATCAGAAGTGACTATCAGAAAATCTCGACATCCACTGGGAGAATGAAATAGAAAGGATCTATGATGGCCTGAAAGCCTGTCTGTCCAACAGCCTACTAGCAATGATCACAAAATCAACCAACAAGCACATGATGCAACATCACCCCCGTCACCATGAGGTAGCTCCCTTCCATGCTGCCGAGCACCTTCACCAGACGTCACAATCTCATACAATCAGCAAGATACATCAGTTTCTTACTCTGTCTTGTGGGAGGTTCCTGAGGTAGCTCTCGTCCAGAGACAGAGGGCACAATGAAGAATACGTGAAACTCTCGTTCGGCCCCAGCACCGGCTGCCGCCCGATCACACCGGAGCCACTTACCTGCAGTTGGCAGAGAGATCAAACTCTCACCGCACGGACGCACACAGTCAGCATTCACTCACAACTTGAGTCTTGGAGTCGGAGGGCGTCACCCGCGTTTTGATCAGCCAAGTACGGGAGAGGAGCTGGCAGGTCTCGTTGTTGAGGTTGGTGATCGTGACATTGTAACCGAACATGAAACGCCCATCGGAGGGAGAGCTCGGGTCAGGCAGGTAGAAGCCCACCGTCTGAATGCGCACCCCCCTCGTCACTGTATCGCTGTTGGCTTTGATGCCGAGCGAGTCAGCAGGTTGGGTGATAGGAGTAGCTAGAGCGAGCTCGAGCGCCTGCAGCTTCTTCTCCTTCTTGTGGAGCACCGGCGGCTTTCCGACCTCCTTCATCTTCTTCCTCAGCGCCGCCGCTTCCTCGTAGCGTTCGTTTGCTACGGCGATGGAGAGCTCTGCCTCCGCGTTGGAGTAGGGGTCTGTCGATTTCAGGCGGGCGATCTCATCCCTCAGCTCTGCTGCCCGCGAGTAGTTCTCTTCAGATACCGCCACATTCATCTCGGAGTCGAGATCCTCTATCTTCTCCCACAGAAGTCTCCTCTCGTCCTCAGACAAGCACATCCTTAACCCGCAGCGTCTCGTCGGCCTGTTCAGCGAGGGGAGGGACGGGCGCCGGGATCTCAGGCTCTCTCGTCCGGAGCATCCAACTCTCAGTCGCGGACTTCCTCCTGGGCCTGCTGAGGTCAAGCCGTCTCTCCTGTCAAATCCGTTGCTCCTTCCCCACAGAGGGCAGGACGAGGACACGAAACTGACAGGGTGTCCCGCTGCCACCAACCCTTCACTCGAAGTCCTTGTGCATGCTCTTGCCTTCAGGCAAGTCCCCGTCCTATCATATACATGTCCCACACTATCAACAGCTGCGATCATGGCTGCCATTGCTGCCATACCCAGCCATCGCGATTCGCCTTTCCCCATGCGCCTTATGTCAGATCCGCGCCCCATTTCGAGAGTCAGACAACAATGTTGAGTAAACATTTAATACGGAGGAACCGGGGCAGCAAACTTTCTGCCTTCGGGTATAATATACCTTCTAATTGTTGTCAGTTTGTTGACAAATGTCTTCAGGTATTACTATATCTTGCCACTGGTGCGCGCCCGACAGCAGTTGGCTCAGAGAGGGAATGGTTGAAATTTGGTTTTTGTTCAAAGGGCGAGGGAGTAGGGAGCATGGAGGTTGAGGATGAGAAACATCGAGGTTCAGATCAGACTAGATGTTCTAGCTTGAGAGCAGGGGATCCATGGAAACCTGTAACGTAGATTCGTAACACTCTTCACCTTTCGTGACTCCCCTCTACAGTCAATTATTTGCCATTTCATCGCGACTAAGTTTGGTTTCAGGTTGGACAGGCCGTTGAGATGTGCGCGCGAATGACGTTAGAAGCATGTTATGCTTGAAACATGTTGCGTCTTGTTTCGCAGCTCAAGCAGCCTACCTTGCCTCACTTCTGAGACCATGAAGCCCCGGAATCAACTACATGCTGCGTGAGAAGGATGGAGGCGGAAGAGGCGGAGGGCACGACGAATGACGCGTTGCACGCGTTGCAAAGCGACCCGCATGCTGACCTCGAACTCTCCTGCTTCTCCTTCCACGTCCCCGGGCTGAACCTGCTCGCAGCTGCATTGCTGTACAACGGGCTCACCCCCGAGGAAGGGTTCGAGGTGTTTGACATCGACTGCGATGGCAAGATCAACCTCTCTGAGTTCCTCCAAACTTCGCGGCCTCTGCTGGGGATGATCGACGAGGCCGCCCATGTCCAGCTGCACAGGGCCATGGACTTCGATGGCTCCGGCTGCATTGAGCGGCACAACTGGATCGAGCTGCTTCGCGGCTACGATGCGGCCAAGGTGCTGGAAGAACGAGGGATAACGCCATGCGTGCATGAGCAGGAGATGGCAGAGGAGGAGGAGCGACAGCTAGTGGAGCGAGGCGCTGAGATACCTCCTCCGCTGCCAGCAGCAGCACAAATCCACTCTCAGGATATGCGTGCGGCAGAAATGGTGCTTGAGGAGTGCGAAGACTCGGGTATCAGCGCTGGAGGCGGAATCGACGAGCAACGTCATGCGAATTCAGAGGGAGACGTAAAGGCTCGTTACCTCGGAGACCATGCTGATTATCTAAGGATTCAGGAGGAAGACGTGAAGGCTGAAGAAGAGAGTGAGAAGGAGAGTACTGAAGAACTCTGTGCTCCTACACGCTCCATTCTTGATCTCCAACAGTACAGACAGAGCATGTCTGAAAATCGAGAAGCTCTTGGCCCAAACAGCAATGCTTCGGATAGTTTGAAGGATCTTTGCCTTCATGCCGAGGGGCTGAAAATCGTAGAGGAGAGTGCGGAGGAAGTCCTTCTCGACAATTTGCATATGAGTCAGGATGACAACAGAGCTGTGGAGCTGAGAGGAGAAGGGCAGGACGTCCCGAAGAAGGCGAGCAAGCGGAAGTCCGTGGTCTCGAGGAAGCCCCTGAAGGCCTCTAACTCCGTCGAGGAAGGTCAAGACAAGGTCAAGGGGAAGACGAGAGGGACAGAGAGCGATGCGCCGCATGCTGAGAGGAGGATCAACACTCCCAGAGGGCTGTTTGCGAGGTTGTCCGAGCCCAAGGAATCGCCGGTGAAGAGCAAGAGGCTGCTGAGGTCGAGGACGCCTCGCTATGTCAGTGAGGGCCTTGACCGGTCGCTCCTTCAAGATCATGGGACGAGCACGGATCTGCCCCAGCAGGGTCTCAGCTCAAGCACGCGGCCCTCTGCTCATGAGTCAGCTCCCTCCTCCAGCTTCGAGACTCCCTTCTGGATCAGGTGCCGCTGCCTCCCCCCTGCCGCAGTTGACGTCCTCGTCAGGCTCTCGGCCCCTGTTGTCCCGAAGGTCTCCAAGGAAGCCTGGGACATCCTGCCGTCGCGCAAGTCAAAGTCCCGCAAGGTGAGAAGGTTCGTGCTATGCCTGTGTGACGTGAGGACGACAGAAGCGAGCTGAGAAGGCGGAAAGCTCGAGCAGAGCTGGGCTAGAGGTTCTGCCTATGATAGGCAACGGCGTCACCGCTGGCTCTCAGAGTCTCTCGAAGCAGAAGAAGGCAATTGAACGCGCAGCCCCTTGGGCTCTCATTGACACGGAATGTACCCGTAACAGGTGGAAGAGAGCTCGGCAAAGGCTCCTTCGAGGCCGCCGAGGGCGCTCTTGACCACCAGGTCACTGTCAGCCCCCTCTTCATCCGAGCACACGGCCCGAGCAACGGTCTCAGCAAGAGGTTCGTCGAGGTTGTCAGCTGAAGATGATGGTGAGCCGCTAGTGGGGGGCTCGTGGAGTTGACGCTGGCTGGCGGCAGCAGCAGATCCTGTGAAGGTGCCGGGCACGTCAAGTACCGAGAAGGGGCTGCTGAGCCTTCCGGTGGGCGTCAGGCCGGGTGTCAAGGTGGGTCACAGAGTCTTGTCTCGCCCTCAAGGTGAAGTTTTACAGCTGGAGCAGCTGGCTGAAACGGGGAGAAGCAGAGCCAACGGGGCGAGCAGGGCGCGGGCTGACAAGACGAGCAGCAGTAGCGGCTGGTCGATCACGACGGGGGATCCGCTGACATGCGTCCAACTCCTCGAACAAGTTAACACGGAGCTGGGAAACCCCAAGGGGGTGGAGAGCATCTGGCGGCCCAGCTGGTGTCAAGAGGGGGCGAAGCCGACGTTCTTCGTCGTCAATGGCGAGTGACTTGCAGACTGGCTGACGTTGACTGGCTGCGCAGGGAACGGGTTCCCGTCCATCGTCGACACGTTCACCAAGCACGGCTACCAACGGCTTTCGTTCAACGCCAAGAATGATGACAGGTGAGAAAATCCCAGGCTGCCTTGACTCGCCGGATATGTTGGGGGGTTGACTGATCCCTCCGGTACCTGGATATTTCAGTTATGCAATCCGGTGGGTACAGCAAACGTGGGAGGTCAACTTCGACACCTTCAGGGCTGGTCAGTGGGCCTGCTACTATAGCAGCGCAACTCAAACGTGTCTGCAGGAGAGCAGCTGGTGAACGTCCTTCCTGGAGTTGAAGTGTTGGTGAGCTGCTCTGATTGACTTGATCGAGCGGTAGATCACGGGTTGCTGCCCTTCAGTCCAACAAGAGCAAGCTCCTCCGATGCCTCGAGGAGCACGCCAAGAGCTCGGGGTAGGGAGAGAGCTTTCGACGACCTCATCCTTGTTCTGACAACGACCTTAGCTGCGACCTCGGCTTCCTCCCCATGTCCAAGATTGCCTCGAACCCTCGGGGCCTCCTGCAGGGAGCTGGCGATCTGCTGGGGAAGGAGGGGGAGGAGATGGCGAGGGACGAGAGGATCTGGATCATCAAGCCCTCCAACAACAACCAGGGGACGGGGATCGTAGTCTGCCGCACCTGCGACATTCCCGCCATATCGCGAGACATCTGGGTTGACTCGCTCGACGTCATTGAGCCCCTCAGGGCGGCGGAGGAGGGAAGGGCGGAGAGGAGGAGCGCAGCGAAGAAAGAACGAGGGAAGAAGTCAGCTTCAGGGGAGAAGAGGCTCCTCAGACCTGGGGACGAAGTCATCCTGCAGGTCAATTTCAGCTCCGCTCCTCCTCCTCCTCCTCCTCCTCTCCTCTCCTTACCTGAGATGTTGCAGGAATACATCATGAACCCCCTCCTTATTGCAAGGTGACTTCTCACTCCCCTCTTCTTCCACTCCTCTCCCCTTCCTGCTCCTCTTGGCCCCTCTACCCCCCCTCCCCCCAACCCCCCCTTCCTCCTTCCCAGCCTCACTCTCCCTACTTGCTCCTCCCCCTGTCCCTCCTCTTTCATCCCTTTGCTCCTCTCCTCCTTCTCACAGTCTTGCAGGCGAAAGTTTGACATCAGGGCCTTCTGCCTTGTCGCTTCAGTGAACCCTCGGCTGTTTCTGAGGTACGACGACTTCTACCTCAGAAGGTACCCCCCTTCCCTCCTTCCCTCCGCGCCCCCCGACATGTCCTGCAGGGCTTGTGAGGCGTTTGACGTCAAGGACCTTGGGAGGAAATCATCGCACCTCACCAACATCTGCGTGCAGAAGCACCATCCTCTCTTCGGCGAGGACTCTGTGTGGGACGCGTCTCGCTTCCGGCAGTACCTGGAGAGCAAGGACTTGGGGGGCATGCTCGACGACCAGATCCTGCCAGGTCTGCAGGGCAGGGGGAGGCGATCTTGGCTGACGAGCAGCAGGGATAGAGAGGATCATGACTGACTGCGTGCAAGCTGCTCTGCCGACGCTCTCAACGCGGCGAGGGTGCTTCCAGGTAGCTGTACGGACGGAGGAGGAGGAGGAGGAGGGTGACGATTGCTGGTCAGCTGCTGGGCTTCGACCTCCTGATCGATGTCTCTGGGCATGTTTACCTGCTGGAGGTCAACCGCAACCCTGACCTGCAGTCTCACACGCGGCGGTGAGTGAAGGGACAATGGTGCTGACGTCAGCAGCTCGTGATAAGCCCCTGCTGGGCAGGTTGCACGGGATCTTTCATGCTCTGCTGGAGGACACCCTCCAGGTCGTCACGGATGTCAACATCAAGCTGATGAAAGGTGTCAAGTCCTCCTGGCAGCTAAGAAGCAGCTGGGGTCTGACTGCTCCTGTAGGGATGCCGCCATGGCCACCCGAGCGCGCGACGTCGTTCAAACGGCTGATGGTGAAGGAGTGACGTGAGGGCGAGTTAACTTCGGAGACGAAGAGGCCATTTACAGCCTTGTGATTTATTGATTGTAAGTTTCTACATGCTTGTCAGTGATACAACCTCTCAACTTTCGTCAAGCTCTTGCAATCTCCATCTCGATCTCCTGCGCAAGATCTCAGCGACAAGCAGGGAGGGAGCAGGAGGGACAAGGTTCAGCTACCTTGAGCCGGAGGTCGTAGGACTTGAGCTCGAACACGTCGCCGAGAGTTTCAAACATGTCGATCAGCTCGAGCACCTGAGCGGGAGCGTGAGGAGGAGAGGGAAGGCTCGTACTTCCAACCTCATCCGCCTGCTGCCTCCCACACATCTCTTGCATCCATCTTCCCCTCTCGCCTCCCCCCGCCTCTGCCTCGTGACTGTCCACCTGTCAGCAGCAGGGTGAGGCTTCAGCAACACACGTGCGTTCCCTTCACCTTGTTGCTGGCCTCTCCTCCCACTCCCTCGCGATGTGGATGGAGAAGCTGGCAGGGGAACAGGCTGGCGTCGGATGAGTGGAGTGCTGGAGACGAGGTGTCCAAGGAGACTTTCACGTCGCTTGCGCCATTCCTCTTGACGTGTCCTTGGGGGCTGACTTGAGATGCAGTGCCCCTAGTTTCATTGCAAGCATCGGATGCGAAAGGCTGTGAGGTAGCGAAAGTGCCTTGGTGACTACAGGAGCTTGTATTCCCTGCGGAAGAATCTTCCAAGGCTGCAGACTGATCCCATGTACTTGCTGGCCCATGCGTGCAGAGCTGGATGATCTTCTCTTGCGTTGAACATCTCAACTTGGTCTCATATTGTGTCTTGATCAAAGTCAGAATCTTGTCTCTCGCCACCCTCAGATTCTGCAGGAACTCCGGCATGTCAGCAAGACTCATCCGTTGGGGATTGAGCTCGCCGCACTCGCAGTCACACTCGATGAAAGAAGCTTGAATGTCTGATATGAAGCTCCTGACGCTCTTCTCTGCCTCTCTCAGTGACGCCATGGCGTGTCTCTGAGTTGCCTTGTCCTCGGAGAGCTGCTGGTGCTCTTGCCTGAGCGACGACAAGGATAGTTGTATCTGTTGGTGGAGATCCGACAGCCTTGCTTCTTTCTGCCTGTAGAGATCTTCTAGCAACGATCTCTTCTCCTCGTCATGGGTGGCTTTAATGTACACCTTGCGCGCCAACGAAGAAACGAGCTCGCCCTCTCGGCACGTCTGCTCGGTCTCATCCGCTATCAGGTCTGTCAACTCCCTCTCGCGCTCCAACTTGGCTCGAGCTTCAGCATGCTCGTGGATTCTCTTCGCCAGGTTCTTCTCAGCACGAGCCACCTGCGCTTCTCTCCTCTCCAGCTCAGAAGTTCTTCGGATGTTTTCAATACTCATCTCTTTCAGCTTCTGCTCGAAGAAGTACTCGCTCTCGCTTCTTCTATCCCCTGCCTCCCCTTCCTCCTCCTCGCATCGTAGAATCGACTGGCCAACCTCGTCCCGCGCCAGCCCAACTGATTCTTGGAAGGAAGACAAGAGCTGAACCGTCTGCTTCAGCTCCTCGTCCGCCAGGCTCACGAGCTTCAAACAGGCAGAGCTCGCATGCTCCGAGCTCTCCTGCCACGTCCCTTCCTCCACCTCGTCTCTCACGGTCTTGAGAGCTTCCCGGAGAGAGGACACCCGAGACGCCTGATGCTGCAACAGCTTCAGCGCAGACGTCATCCTCTGGTACGCGAGGAAGCCTGGATGAGAGGAACGGATCTTCCTCTGAGGCGCCGCAGCGTCCGCGTTCCATCGCGCAGCAGCATCGTTGATGCTCCTTGCCCTCTGAAGCAGCTCGGACGACACTGGGTTCCCATTCAGGATCAGCATCTTCATGTTCGTGCACCTCTCAGCTGCTTCCAGCAGCCTGTAGCCCCCGACGTCGCTCAGGTAGTTGTCCGACAGGTCGAGGCTAGTGAGCTGACTCGCGTTGCCTGGCAGCGACTTATGCAGGACAAGAGCTGCGCGATCAGCGAGGTTGTTCTTGCCGAGTGTTATGCATGACAAGTTGTGTCTGAGCCCGACGAGTGCGAGAACACCCGAGTTGTGGTCGCTCAGCCCGATAGAGTTGAGCAGGAGCGTGCTCAGAGCCCTCGACGTCCTCCCCTCCGCCTTCCTCCCTCCCTGGATGTCTCCCACCGCCAGCGCCATGAGCACGACCTTCATGCCCTTGGGGCCGAGGGGGTTCATGCTGAGATCGAGGGAGGACAGGGACGAGAACTCGTTCATCCTGTCCATCAACTGCCTGGCATCCTCGGCCGTCAGCTGGCATCCTCTGAGGTCAAGATGACTCAAGTGCGCTGGGTTGCTCATCTGCTTGTAGAGCGTATACCATCCCTGCCTCCTCCCGCCTCCTGTACGTGCCTTCACGTCCTCCGCCATCGCCTCCTCCTCCCTCCTACCCCATCGCTCGCCCTCCCCTCGGCTCTCCCCGTCCGGACCTCTGGAGGAGGTCCGTTGATGACCTTGCGGACAGTCGCAACGGAAGAAACCGACGCACCAAGGGAGCAGGGGGGGAGAGGAGGGAAGGGAGGGAAGGAGCTGAGAGAGAAGAGAGAAGAAACAAGTTAGAAGCAGGGACGGTGCGTTAGAGACTCGTACAAGGTAGAAACCAAGTTGCCATGTAGAGGATTAAAATTATTGATGTTCTATTCTTGTACCTTCAGTCACTCTACTGGATGGGAACGGGAGGTGGGGAGTGTCGAGGAGTGTGAGGAGAATAAAACAGAAGGAGGAGCATGACGCAGGTAGACACGTCAAGTTATTTCAGACCTCAAGGGTCGGGTGTCAATATCTTCACTCTCAACTCTCACACACGCAACTAGATTACAGCCATCACGACGACACCATAGGCGTTGCCTCCTCTCCATGGAGGCGCATGTGATACAAGCATGTGAACTGCCATCATCGTCATTGCTGGTATGCACAGCAGGAGAACATCACCTCTTGCTTCCCCTGGTTTGATAAGATCTCGTAGCGGATGGTATCAACGAGGGGCTGCCGTATGAAGTCAGGAAGTTGGAAAGAGGAAGACAGACAAACCGAGTTCTTGACAGCGAAGGTCTGAACATGAGGCAACAGCTCCTCCTCAGAAGCATCTTCCCGAACCTGTTGCCCAGTCATTCTCAATCACCAAATGATGACCGACGCTTGAGAGGAGGAGGAGGGTGGGCACGACAGAGGGATGAGGAGGATGGGGATCGAGGAGCACCTCATACTCTCCCTCAACCAAGACCTTGAACGATCCCTCCTCAGTTTCCGCGCCGGAGAGCGAGCCGAGGATGCGGAAGCCTCTAGGAGCGCTGCGAATGTCGGGCGATATCCTCTTGGGGATGTGCTGCATCGGGTACGTCAGGGCAGCACCAATGTTTACTCTCCGCCTACCTGGATCACAGCCTCGGTGACGCGAAGCAGCTTCGACAGGCGGATCTCAACGAACCCTAGAGAGGCCGTCACGTCTTCGATCCTCGCGCTCCTCCCCTCGCTCTCACCTTGCGACCCGCTCATGGCCCAGCAGTTGCCGAGCATCATGCTCGGGGAGTCGATCCTGAAACAGGACGTGAGACGAGCAGAGGTGGAGCAGGAGGCTAACATGGATAAGCCAGCCACATCCGAGTGGATGAAAGTCTTGGGGTTCAGCTGTCGCAGGTTACCGTCAACAAACAGTGAAGCAAAAGTTTCGCTTGCAACCTGTTGCGACGTCGAGCACTTCAAGTAGCTGAAAACACTGGTGTTCTTGCATGCAGGAAAGGTCTCCGAATGGTTGGTGATGCTGGCTCCATTGACCTCCAAGAGCCAGTCAATCCTGCCGATTCTCTCCTGGAACAGTGCGCGAAGAACGTGCTTGATCTGTTTCTCAAGGTCGTCGCTCTGCCTCTGCTTGACAAGCTGCGCCACTGCTTGCTTGATCTTCTCATTCAGCTCCTCGTTCATCTTGCTGATGGCCATAGCCAAGATCTCGGACTTAGCAGCAACCAACATGCTCTGAGAAGCCTCCGATATCTTCTTCTCGATAGCCTTGCGCTCCGTGGCAAGTAAGGAATTCACTTCCTTCTGCATCTTGGAGTCGATCTCGGTCTTGGCAGTTTCCAGGGATTGAAGGAGACGAGAGTTGAGGCTCTCAGCGTCTGACAGCATCTTCTCTGCCTTCTCTCTCAGCTTCGAGAGTGATTTTTCAAGGTCCGCGGTCTTTGCCTCGGAGGACTTTTTCTGTTCCTCAATTTGATCAAGCATGTACTTCCTAAGCTTCTGAATGTCGCTTGACAACTCTGTTTTAACTGATTCGAAGTTTCTTTGGCTCTCAGAGATCTTCTTCATAGACTCTTCGGTCTTTGCCATCGTCGACTTGATACCGGAAAGAGCCTCGTCGAAGTTTTTGTCAATCACTTGGCCATTCTGCTTTGCAGTTTTCAACAGTCCAACATTCTCATTGTACATGGTCTTCATTTCCTCGAACCTCTTATTCATGTCTGAAACCAGTTTGTGCGTGTCTGCATCCATGGAAATAGCAGGTTTGGAGCCTGACGACATTGCAAAAGCAGCGATCACTAACAAAACAGCAGCCAATGCTCCCAGAGCGATGTAATCTTTGTTCTTGTTCTTCGAATCTTCAGCAGGAGTCACCGTGCTGGACGAAGTCCATGCAGGAAAGTGAGAAGAGGACATGGGTCGGGGCCCCCGAGACCTCCTCCTGCAATCATGGGAGGGGTGCAAGGGGCTGAAATCGTCGGCAGCTACCATATCCTTGCTCGTTAGTCAAAGAGGGTCAGTGTAGAAGATGGAGCAGCGACGGAGATGTCAGTCAGCAAAAGAGGATGAAGAAGACGCCTGGAAGGCCGTGATGTCGTACGAGTGAGGGCTCGAGGACGACTGACAGGGGAACAGGACAAGGCAAAGCTGTACACGACGAGGTGAAGGAAGAAGGAGGGGCTCCAGGAATGATAGTACCGGTAGTCAACAAACAATCACTGCTTGTACCCGTAAATCTAAGAGAAAAATAACATTCAGATAGGGGTACACCTCAAGAAAAGGGGGTAGGGTCAGGAGGAAAAGCACTTGATAGGGTGGGGTCAATTTGAATTTGTCCTGACGGTAGTATTGCAGTAACGTCCGTGAAATAACGGATGATGAAAGTTCCTAATAAGGCTGATGAAAGTTCCTAATAAGACTGATGAAAGTTCCTAATAAGACTGATGAAAGTTCCTAATAAGACTGATGAGAGTTCCTAATAAGACTGATGAAAGTTCCTAATAAGACTGATGAAAGTTCCTAATAAGACTGATGAGAGTTCCTAATAAGACTGATGAAAGTTCCTAATGAGACTGATGAAAGTTCCTAATAAGGCTGATGAAAGTTCCTAATAAGACTGATGAAAGTTCCTAATGAGAGACTGATGAAAGTTCCTAATAAGGCTGATGAGAGTTCCTAATAAGGCTGATGAGAGTTCCTAATAAGACTGATGAGAGTTCCTAATAAGACTGATGAGAGTTCCTAATAAGGCTGATGAGAGTTCCTAATAAGACTGATGATGAAAGTTCCTAATGAGAGGCTGATGAGAGTTCCTAATAAGGCTGATGAGAGTTCCTAATAAGACTGATGAGAGTTCCTAATAAGACTGATGAGAGTTCCTAATAAGGCTGATGAAAGTTCCTAATAAGGCTGATGAGAGTTCCTAATAAGGCTGATGAGAGTTCCTAATAAGGCTGATGAGAGTTCCTAATAAGGCTGATGAAAGTTCCTAATAAGGCTGATGAGAGTTCCTAATAAGGCTGATGAAAGTTCCTAATAAGACTGATGAAAGTTCCTAATGAGAGACTGATGAAAGTTCCTAATAAGGCTGATGAAAGTTCCTAATAAGACTGATGAAAGTTCCTAATGAGAGACTGATGAAAGTTCCTAATAAGACTGATGAAAGTTCCTAAGAAGACTGATGAAAGTTCCTAATAAGGCTGATGAGAGTTCCTAATAAGACTGATGAGAGTTCCTAATGAGACTGATGAAAGTTCCTAATAAGACTGATGAGAGTTCCTAATAAGACTGATGAGAGTTCCTAATAAGGCTGATGAAAGTTCCTAATAAGGCTGATGAGAGTTTCTAGTCGCGGCCCCGCCGTGACCCGGCGCGCGATCTTATCAAGGATATCATCATCTTGTAATAATCCTGCTGAGCAGGATAAGCGCAAATGATTGTTAAGATGTCCTCACGACAGCAGGGCGATCTCGTCATCGACAGCAACATCTTGAAGCCTAGAGAACAGTAACCAAAACAAAAACATGATGACAAGGACGGTGATCACAGCGTACCATGGGCTCAGCCCCACCTGCCTCCCTCCTCTCCTTCTCCTGCACTTGATGCATGCTCGAGGTACGCGGTTCCCGCAGACTAGACCGTATCACACTGACCCCTTGCTCTCAGCTCTGGGCCCCTCCGACCGCGACGCTGGAAGCTGCAGAGAGCTGGAGAGGAGGGGCCTGGCCCAGCTGGACGCGGCAGAGATTGAGAGATGGCTGCGGTGCCACCATGTCGGGGAGGAGGCGGTCCAGGCCATAGGAGGAAGCAACGTGACGGGAGCAGAGCTCGTGGTGGGAGAGGACGCGGAGAGGCAGGAGGACTCTAAGCTGTATGATCGCTCCAGGGGATGTCGAGGAGCGAGCTGGTAGAGGTGATGGGGATGAGCGCGGTGAGCTGGCGGCAGCGAGGGGGAGCTGGAAGATGAGGTGGCGGCAGGTGCAGGCGTGGAGGGGGGAGGAGCAGGTGAGGCGGAGGCTTGAGGATGGAACCGATCTTGAAAGCGCCGCCCAGTCTCCCTCCCTTCTTCCTGCATCGCCTCCCAAGCCACCTCCTCCCCCAGCTCAAGGAGGAGCACTCCGAGCAGCACCAGCAGCGCTAGCACGAACGTTGCGTGGGGGGAGGGGAGGCTGTCGAGCGGGAGCCGCTTCTACGCCAACGTCGTGCGGACCGAGCACGGCAGCTCCGGCTCTTGGGAGGCAGGGAGAGAGGAGGAGACATGTTTCGGGGTCAATGAAGGATCAGTGGAATGTTCTCGCAGTACCATACAACTCATCAAAACATGTTGCACTCTGTCTTGGAGAGTATACGAGTCTTCATTTGAACTTCATTTGAATACTTCCAACATTCATTTGATACTTTCAATCGGTCTGGTGAAAGCGATTGGCAAGTTTTTTCTTCACCAACACCCAGTTGTCTACTCGCAGCGAGTTTGAGAAGGCCTCGAGTCAAGCGCTTGGTGCTGGACGAGATGAAATATCTGAGACCCGTTTAGAGGGTAGGGACGAGGGCTCTTCAGTTAGACGGTAGAGTCAAGACACATTCCGAGAGCCGATCAGCTCCAATGCTAGCTATCATGGCCGAGAACTTGAAGTCAAAGATGTCTTGACCTGTCAGAAGTGCCCCGGTGAATGTTATGCGTCTAGGAAGTTAGTTCGAACCTGGCAGGCTTGTGAAGCTCCTGACTGAGTGATGGTTTCACTTCAAAGAATGGAGGCGGTCATCGTTTATGTACCCAAAGGAATGGTACTTTGAGGGGGGGGCGGGGTTTACATGAATCCGCAGCTAACTTGAAGCCCTACATCCTGCTCCCCTCTCTACTTCGACGCCCAACATCAGCAGATGTCACATACTCCCTCAGCTACGTCCTCACCCAAGTCCCCCCCGCTCCTCCTCGTCCACCTCCTCTCCACCTGCCTCTGCGTCCTCCTATCCCCCTTCCAAGCCCTCTGCGCCATCTTCTTCCAACCCCACACCACCAACGCCGTAACCCGGGAGCGGAGAGCAGCTCGAGCAAAGTCAGACGAGGGAGGGAGCGACACAGTTGATATTTCGAGGAGCAGGAGGAGAAGTGATGTATCTGCAGACTCGCATCACTCCTTTCATCACACGTGGTCAAGTGGGAGCCGGTTCCACGCGAAGCATCTGAACAGCGAGGGCTTCAAGCAACACCGCTTCTCCCTGTCTCTGCATGCGTGCACCGACGGCTTCGCGAGGCCTCCCAGCTTCGGCCGCACTCCGATCAGCACCAGCAGCGCTAGCACGAGTGTTGCGGGAGGGAAGAGGAGGCTGTCGAGCAGGAGCCGCTTCTACGCCAACGTCATCCAAACCGAGCACGGCAGCTCCGGCTCCTCGGACGCAGGGAGAGAGGAGGGGGGCATGTTTCGGAGGACCTCGTCGTGTCCCAGTCCCGGGAATATGGAGAGGAGGAAGGAGGGAGCCAAGGCGAGGGCAGCAGTACCGTGTTTGAGGTGTAAAAGGTGAGCCGGAGGACAGCGGTAACATGCGAGGAGCACAGATATGAATATCAGAATGCACGAAGCTTTCATGTATAGGAGGGGAAGACTGGGATACGCGGCGAGGAGAGTATTGCATCAATGAAGTGTTAAATACCTTTACGAGCGCTGATGAATATTTGGGACAACCTTGACTAAGAGATTTGCAAGCTGAGACCAGTATCAGCACCGCTAACTTGAACCTGTGCTTTCTTCACTTTCAGCAGCATAACACCTTCACTGCACGTATCCCTTCTCTCTCAGCCTCCTCAGCTGCTCCTCGACCAGCCTCCTCATCACGTCCACCGGCACGGTCATGTAGCTCGACTGCTTGTACGACGTCACGTCGCGCGTCCTGTTGAAGTCGCACCATCGCGTCACGTTGTGCAGGTACCCGAACCAGATCTCCGCCTCGTTCCCATGCTCCACCGCTCCGTCGGCGAAGATGCGGCAGGGCGTGACGAGCGAGCGGTCCAACGGCATCCAGATGGCGTTCATGACGTCGCTGCCGGGCAGGGAGAAGAGCACGTCGGTCCCCGACATCACCGCCAGCTGCTCCTTGCTCCTCATCGTCGACCAGTCCGCTGACAGCACCGTCACCTCCAGCTCTCCGAGTGCCGCCGCCACCTCCTCCGTGTTGACGATGCGGATGGAGTTGAGGGCCCTCCTGCCCTTGCGCATCACCACCACCTGAGCGCGCTGAGGCGGCATCTTCTCCCGGATCGAGTGCAGCTCCAGAGCCAGTCGTCGAAACCGCACCACGTTCTGCTGGAAAGGAGCTAGGTACGCGGGCCGGCACCGCAAGCTCCGCCCCAGCTCGCACGCATGCCCTAAAGCGTACCCGAGGTGCGCGAGCCCGAAGACAAGCGACTCCATGCAGACATAGTTCCCGTGCTCGTTGAGTAGCGTCCCTGTCGTCCACACGGGCCGGGGGTTGACGAGCTCGAACACATCCGCGTTGCGCCCCTCCTCCCACAGGACGATCTGTACCTCCCTGTACTCCTCCTCCATCCCCCAGATGCTCAACGCCTGGAACAGCGCCCACACCTCATCTCCCAGCACGTGTGCTCTGTTGGGCGGGTAGTACCTTCCTACCAGTGCGAACGTCCCGGGCAAGAACTCACAGCCCTCGCATTCCCCAGGCGATCGCTCCACATGCAGCACATCCTCGTTAGTCGAGTAAGGAGGATACTTGGCTGCGATATAGGTTTCGAAAGACGCTTCGTGCGAGCTGCTGCCGAAGTACTCCAACGTTCTCGCCGTCACGTCCAGGCAGACACGATGGGATAAGCAGCTGTTGATCCCTTGGTGCTGCTCGCACTTCACCCAAGACCTCCCCTGCTCCTTGCATGTCATCGCTTTCAAGATCTGTTCCATCCTCAAGCCTCCGCCTCACCTGCTCCTCCCCTGCCTCGCGCTCACCTTGCATCGCTAGCTTCCTCAGCCTCCACGCCTGCACCTGCCGCCACCTCATCTTCCAGCTCCCCCTCGCTGCCGCCAGCTCACCGCGCTCATCCCCATCACCTCTCCCAGCTCGCTCCTCGACATCCCCTGGAGCGATCATACAGCTTAGAGTCCTCCTGCCTCTCCGCGTCCTCTCCTACCACGAGCTCTGCTCCCGTCACGTTGCTTCCTCCCATGGCCTGGACCGCCTCCTCCCCGACATGGTGGCACCGCAGCCATCTCTCAGTCTCTGCCGCGTCCAGCTGGGTCAGGCCCCTCCTCTCCAGCTCTCTGCAGCTTCCAGCGTCGCGGTCGGAGGGGCCCAGAGCTGAGAGCAAGGGGTCAGTGTGATACGGTCTAGTCTGCGGGAACCGCGTACCTCGAGCATGCATCAAGTGCAGGAGAAGGAGAGGAGGGAGGCAGGTGGGGATGAGCCCATGGTACGCTGTGATCACCGTCCTTGTCATCATGTTTTTGTTTTGGTTACTGTTCTCTAGGCTTCAAGATGTTGCTGTGGATGACGAGATCGCCCTGCTGTCGTGAGGACATCTTAACAATCATTTGCGCTTATCCTGCTCAGCAGGGGATGTGCTTTGAGTTGAAACGATTATGATATCCTTGATAAGACGATGATATCCTCGAGAAGATGATATTCCTTGAGGCAGATTATATCCTTGATACGATTATCTTTCGGGTGACTTGTTTTCTAATCTCTCTCTCGTTCTGTTTCCTCCTTCCTGCTGCTTCCGCATTCGGCGGTCAAGTTTTTTAGACAAACCCAAATGTCTGAGGCGGACCTATGAAATGCCTGCTGCAGGCTCGAGTAAACCTTGCACTTGTTTTGTCAAATCCGCCCGCCAGAAGCCGTAGTACCATGTTTCACACGAATGAATATACATTGAACTTCGGAAGTAATTTGTTGTTTTTTGTATGCCACCGGGTTTCCGGGGGCAGTGATATAATAAGTCGAAGTCACGCACCTTGGACTCTCGGGACGCCGATGACAGACTCACTCGGATCCTCCCGGGAGTCCCGGAGTCCTCAGGCTTCGAAAACATCTCGAGACATTTTCTCAGAAGCCGCGAAACACGGTGTCCGCTCAGTGCCACCGACTGGCCGCGCATTTCCGAAGTTCACATCCAGTTTGAACCGCTCGGCGGAGGTACTCAGTACCCGGGGGATCATGGAGGGAGCGGCAGTAGCCGTGCCTAAACCGGGTGACCCCGGGCCGGCCCACTGCCCCTCAGTAATACACGGGGAGCCTGACTAACTAGTAAGTCAGTGGGTCGAAATGGGCAGTGGGTCCGGGCGCACTGTAACAAGCCTTTGAAAAGAACTGGTCCAATCCCCTCACAGAGTAAGTGAGGGCCTGCTACACCGCCCCCCGGGCCCCGGGCCGCCTTCGCAGTCACCCCGGAGTGTCGGACGGTACTGGCACCCGGGCCTCCCGGCGGATCGCAGCACCCCGGAAGTCAAAGAGAACGTCAAAAGTTGATTCTTAACTTCCGAGGGCCACCCGCCCTCGAGTGGCACAAACTCGTACAAAAGGCCGAACCTAAGAAGGGGGGTGGGTGGCTGCCAGTAGTCCCACAAGCCCACCTGGCCCCTCTTTCAAGTTCATTGAAAACAACCATGAATTGAAACCGTGACTCGTAATAATTCATTGTTGCTTTTATTTTGGAATTTTAAGGCATACATTTCAAAACTCGGCGACCCGGGAGCGATATGCAGTGGGGGCAGGCGTGTATGTTGGTGTTGCTGTATGATTATGGGATGGAGTGCGATACCTCCATCTCACAGGCTTGCAGCTCTGAGTCTTCTTGTCAGTCTTGCGTTGATCCGAACTCCTATCAAGTTTCTTGTCAGTCCCTCAACCCAGGACATTTCACGGGCTGTGACTGCAACTCCAACTATTACTGGGATTCTTCAAGCCATTCTTGCCTGAAATGCGCTACTTGTTCTAGTGGAAAGTACAGGAGCGGGGGATGTATCAGTACGAGTGATACGGTATGCTCGACATGCTCGACCTGTCCCAGCGGGAAGTACAGGAGCGGGGGATGCAGCAACACAAGCGACTCGGCGTGCTCGACATGCTCGACCTGTCCTAGTGGGTATTACAAGACTGGGGGATGCAGCGGTACGCATGATACGGTATGCTCCCCATGCTCATCCTGCCCTAGTGGGTATTACAAGACTGGGGGATGTAGCGGTACAAGTGACTCGGTATGCTCGCCATGTACCTGCTCAGGCAACGTATACTTGAGCATAGGATGCTCTTTGTCATGGACGTACAGTCGAACCTTGCTCTCAGATACTGGTTCTGTCTTGTCACAGTGGGAGGAAAGGCTGTATTACAACAAGCAGAACCAGCTGCTCTTTGTCAGGTATTACTTCTTCATCCATGCAGATTGGTCCTCATCTGGGGGAATCGACTATTCCACATACTATGATGACAACAGTTCCTTGGCAGCCTACATATCAACGAACTCAACTGCAATCTATACAGATCAAATTTTGCGGTTTGAAAAAGGCAACACTATGGGGACCGGGTTTTATTGGAATTCCGGTCCCACATACAATGTTGTTGGCCATGCATACAGCATCAATGTATACATAGCAACTTGGAGCAACCCGGTATGCTCGAACTGCTCGACATGCCCGATCGGCAAGTACATCAGCAGCGCCTGCAGCAACAACAGCGATACAGTATGCGCATACTGCTCGACATGCCCGAGCGGCAAGTACATCAGCAGCGCCTGCAGCAACAACAGCGATACAGTATGCTCGAACTGCTCGACATGCTCGAGCGGCAAGGACAGCACCTGCAGCAGCATCTGCAATGCAGTGAATGTGATGGCTTCCGTGCCCTGTACTATGTCGTGTCCCAACGGCTCGTACTCTAGGTACAGATACTCCATTAACTTTGCGAGGAGTTGTACCGCAGGTGCATGTCCAGCGGTGCAGACCTCTGATGCCTCCACGAGCACTGGTGCCGCAAAAGCCGTGGACAGTTACTACAACAAGGCCGACAGCATTGCAGAGACTGCGATCGCTACCGATGCATACTGGCAGGTCAATCTCACGGCTCTCAACTTCGTACAGGAGGTTCATATCTTTCCAGATTACCTGGACTACACGCTGAGCGAGAGTGTGTTTGTGTTTGTGAGTGAGAACTCTACCGTTGGGTCCGGTCATCTATGTGGAAAAATCGAATCCTTGACTTCCCCCTTCGATGTGAAAGTCAAGTCTTATAACCCTCAGGGTACCTTTGGATTTTCTGCTGCTATTGCTCAGTCATGGGGTGCAAGCGACATGTTCTTCATTTGCAAGTTGTTCTTCCAAAGTAACGTACAGAATGGGCTGATCTTCGAAGCGGGGGGCTCGGATGCAGGCACGTGGTTAGGAATCCGAGACAGCAGCACACGTCCTGTGCTCCGATTGCGCGCAGGAGATGGAGGAACGAACATCACCGTGGGGTCTGGTGGCACGTCTACGGCATCATGCATTGACGTTCATGATTTTCCCTCTGACGACCAATACCACATTGTTGCATGGCAGTACATCGTGAGCACGAGGACGATCAATCTTTGGATAGACGGAGCTTTGAAAGGAACAAGCTCCACCACGGAGTGGAACAGTGCCGTCACCTCTTGGAGCGGAGGCGACGATGCAACGTACATCTTGAGCTGCAATTCGTCAATAACAGTCGGTGAGGCAACAGCAGGGTGGCCGAACCATTACGCCAGCGACCTCTACCAGTTCAGCTCCTTCTCGGATGTTCCCCAGCTGGCTTCGATCCCGAGGTTGGGGAACATAGAGGAGATCATACGGTGCGACTATCTCGGCCAGTATGTCACGATACAGAAACCCGGGAGGGCGAGACTGGGGCTGAGCGAGGTAGCGGTGTATGGTGGGTGCGTGAGCTGTGCAGACAACGGAGTGACGACCCAAGAGAGCCCGGATATCATGGCTCCATGCAGTTTGCCTTGCGCTGCTGGCTCCTGGAGTCCGTCGGGAAACGCCTTCGACCTTCCAAGGGTGTGCAGCGCGGGCGCCTGCCCGTCTACTCAGACAAGCACGGCATCTCCTGGCACTGGCCCCGATAAGGCAATCGACGGATATTTCAATAGCCCACAGAGCATCGCTGTCACGAGCAGCGTCGCTGACCTGTACTGGCAAGTTGACTTGCAATCCATGCAGTTGGTGCAAGAGGTTCGCATCTACCCGGATTACCTCGACTACACCAACACGGAGAACGTCAACGTATACCTGAGCAACTCGACCGTGCTTGGCTCAGGGAGACTATGCGGCACAATTGGTACGATCATTTTGCCGCTCGATGCGTACGTGACGTCATTCAGCCCTTCTTCGAGGTACGGTTTCAGCAGCGCCATCAGTCAGTCATACGGTACGAGCGATCAATTCTTCATATGCAGAGTACTCTTCCCTACCAACATCACAGACGGGTTGATCTTTGAGGCCGGGGCTACATATACAGGCACATGGATCGGTGTGAGGGACAGCAGCACCACACCTGTGTTTCGCTTCCGAGCTGGGAATGGGAGTACGTCTATTCCCGTTGGTGGCAGCATCATCGGCGCGGCTTGCATCGACCTGTACACCTTCCCAGCAGATGGACTCTACCACATTGTAGCCTGGCAATACATCATCAGCACTGGAACCATCAACCTCTGGCTCGATGGGGTGTTGGCAGGTACCGCCTCGTGCGGGCAGTTTACCGGTGGATCTGCTTTCGGAGCGAATGACGGAACATACATGTACGCCTCCACCGCGGTGAATGTCGGAGAGCCTAGCACAGGTTGGCCCAAGCAATACGCCAGTGACCTCTATCGTTTCAACTCGTCTACGTACGTCCCGGAGCTTTCCTCTTTCACACAGACTTCTAACCCTCACATCTCGATGAACTGCTCGGATGTCGGGCAGTACATTCGACTCGAGAAGGCTGGCACGGGTGTGCTAGGGGTGAGCGAGGTAGCTGTGTACGGGGGATGCGTCAAGTGTGCGGTCAATGCGACAACATTGCAAAGCGGCTCGACTTCAATATCCGATTGCGGTTCCATCGCTCAGACGTATACCGACGCGAATGTCAATCAATCTTGTATCAATTATGCTATGTCTCTTTATCAATAAACGTTTGCTTGTAATTTACGATGTCGATTTTGGAGGGATGGCTGTAACAAATCAAGTCGATTTGTCTTGTGGTTGTGTAGAAAGTGGAGGGGTACCGCTCGTATCATGATCACTATTTTGTGTTTCATTGGCAGCTCTTTGATTTCTCAGTTTATGAGAAATCTTGCCATCTTTGTGCAGGAATGTCTGAACCATCAGATTGTACCTGATTACTGGCACATGTGCCAGTAATCAATACAGCTTCTATGGCTGCCTGTATCTCATTGCACACCTGACATTGTCTTGTTCATATCATGTTGCAGTTCATTCCTGTATATAGGATCAGGTGACAGCGGAGAAGTGAAGCGCTGGTACAGGAGGAGGAGGTGGTGGTATCGTCTGTGAGTCGAACAGCTCAGGTGGCTCAGGGATCATAATCATGAGATTTGCTCCCACTTGTCAATACCACTCCTACGACGAGTCGTGGAGAACCGGTAGAAAGGACGAGGACTGTGAAACTACAAACACAAGTGAACACAAATCAACATTCAAACGCAAACAACGTGGGCTAGTAGGAGCTTCAGCTGAAATTGAACCTCGAACTCATCCCCACGGATGTTCTCCTTTGCTGACTCAGAGCATCTGACATCTCATGGGGTGATCGTCCGACACATCTGCTCGTCTATGTGCAAGGCTCGTGCATTATCGTCTCAACCTCCAGCGTGATGTACCAAGTGCTGAAACTCTCAGTCTGCCTGTCTGTATCGTCCCCCTATCCTCTCCGTTCCAACACAACCTCAGCAACAGTGAAACTGACGAGATTGCTTCTTATCATGATCGCCGCCTCTTTGCTACTCGTAGGAGCAAGGTATGAAGCATGAGGCGTCGAGACGGTTCTGAGTCATGCGATGGCATCATCTCTCAAGACGGTCTGTGCTGGGATCTCTCTGCCTCATTGGTACCTCCTGGATAGGTCAGCGAGCTGAAACCCACTGAGTGGGATGGGAGAGGAGGGGGGAGAGTCAATAGATGAGAAGGTCTTGTCGCATGTCATAGAGACCAACTGCGCTGCGTGACGGAATGTCAAGAGAACGAGTTCATTCCCACATCAACGATATCAAGTAACTCTAAGTCACGTGTGACCCTGACGGCCATGCCTGTCTCCCTTGTCTTTCGCTCCCTCCGCCGCTCAAATTCACAGTCAGTGACCGTAAGTCATTGCGGCCATAGTGCCCTGTGACTGTCTGGTTACAAGTTAGCAGGACCCTTGTCCGGTGGCGGGACAGCCCCACTGAAATCTGTCGCTAGTGTTCTTGGACGTGTCTGACGTCCCAGATCCTGCAGGGATGCATCCTGCACCCGGCCATGCTGTCGAGCAGATGCTGCTGCATGCGATGGAAAATTGGCCGTGTGAAATGTCACACGAACCAGAACTGAAATCGAAGTCAGCATTGACTACAACAACCTCTACCATAATCTCCATCTCCATCTCCATCTCCATCTCCATCTCCATCTCCATCTCCATCTCCATCTCCATCTCCACCCTGTTTCTCACATGTTGTTCTAGAAGACATCGATTGTGCTGTACACTGCAACGTTGAGAGTGTGATAGCAAACTAGAACAATCAGAGCTCAAATTCACACAGTAGCATTGTGCTTTGAAGAGCACAATTCTCAGCCAACTCTTGCGTCTAGCTCCTTCAACTCATTGGTACTGGTTTGACAACATCATCACAAACATTCTGCTTCTGGGGCACTCAGGTGCTTGTGCTAGGTATAGCTTTATCTGTACAAGTAGCACATCTGAGTTGAGATGTTTCTTGAGCCTACCATACTTCACTTACTTTGACTTTCCTACTCGTGTAAGGCACCGATGATGATGCACCACTGGGCCACAAGTTCGTTCCTCATGGCTCAGTGACCTTGTCATTTTGCCACCATATGCCGCCATGAACGGCTGGAGCAATATGCCTCACAGATGGCAACCTCACTTGTCCGAGTCAGCTAGCTCTATCCGACCATCTACCATGACCATAACGGCTGGGGGATCGCTTGTTGTCCTTCGTACCTGCTAGAAGAGCTGGCCGCTGCGAGCAGGGCGAACATTATTTGGCAGATCTATTTCTGGCGGAAGGCCCTCCTCAGTTTTATTAGCGCAGGCCCGCTCAGTATCAGTATCGGCCGGACGCCGGGTGCCCGGCGCCGCACTGGCTGCCAGTGGATCCGAGACCGGACCGTACTGTCCGACGCCCGGCCCCCGCGGCGCCGCACGGTGAAAGCTGAGCGCGGCCTTGCGGTGACGACGGTCCGATCGGACCTGGCGACCCGCCGGCGGCCCGGCGTCGGACGGGGGCCGGGCCCCGTGATCGCGCCCGGCCGGGGACCCGGGCCCGATCCGGACACTGCCGCCCCGCCACGGTGACTCGCCGGAGTCGCCGCCGAGTCGCTGAGTTCGGAACTGACCGCCCCCCCCCCCCCCCCACCTCCGGAACAGTCGCTCTCAGAGTCTGAAGCGATCCGGCACTGCCGCAGCCGGCGTCCGGTCCTGCCGCAGTGATCGGACACGCCGGCCGGGCACAGTGCCGCAGTGCCACCGTGCACAGTGACAGCCTAGTACGGTACCGGGGACTGTAACGGTCAAAATAACCGTCTTCCCGATTGTTCCAATGGCGTCACCCTCATGCCCTCCCGGCCCAATAACCCCTGGAATAAGCCGGCGAATACCCCACCACTTTCAAATCTACCCCTGCAAGGGCGCCTGAGATGGGAAGTACCCGTACTTTTAAACGATAATATCAGACTCAAATGGGGTACTCCTACCACCCTCCTTCATCAGTACCCCCAAACAAGATAACCCCACAACCTTTACAACCACCCCCGATGTGCCCTGTGGAATCCGGTTAGAGAAGAGGATACTGACGACAGAACGACAGCATGGCTGCTCTGGTATGGCTGGGAAGCACTATTGAGATGGGAGGAGGAGGGGTTTGGTGTGGACGAAGGGCGGTCGTGGAGAGGGGGAAATGCCAAAGTTGGAGACGGTCACCATGTTTCAAGTGGAGAGAGGGCATGGAGTCGTGTAGGCAGTAAGGGGAGGGAAGGGACAAAGCAGGTGGGTGAAAGCTGTTTACTCGGAAGTTCGATCACCGGGTGTAAGGATTGGATGGACCTCAACTTTTGAATGGATTTCGTTCCAAATCAATGTTATGAGGTTGTGATGATTGTGTTGAAGCCGTATCAAGAAATCTTTGCGGCATCTCCGGCAACAACGAGAGGACAAGGCACCACGATTAGCGTAGACGCCAAGGTTCTCGACATGCGTGCATGCAATCCCTGAACTCACGGGTCATATATGCAGGGAGAGAAACTGTTCTATGGCTGTGGCAGAAGCGTGATCATTCGTAGCGTCTCTAACCCTCTTTCAGCAGAAGTGTTCACTGGTGTCGCAAAGTTTCTGTGCGCACCTCAACCTTACCTGTTTTTCGACACAGAACACGCCAAGGATGTTACTGTTGCTAAACCATCGCCATCAGGCGCATGGGTTGCGTCAGGAGATGGTGCACTGTCTATCATCACCAGATACCATATGACGTGTTGAGCTTCTCCCAGCCTCTGGTGTAGTCAAAGTTTGGTCGCTTGACAACCCCGAGCATATCATCAAGTTTGAAGCTCAGGTCTACCTTTGCTCACTAGACAAGTCAGACCCCGTGCTTACTGTTTTCTTGCATCCCAGTGCCTTGGAGGAGCCATCCATGACATTCAGTGGTCTCCGGACAGCCAAAGGATTGTTGCCGTCGGTGATGGTGAGAAAAGGCTCAATGGATGAAGGCAGCATCCTCGTCCACTCACGCTGGTACAGGGAAGGACTCGTTTGGACGTGTCTTCATGTGGGATACCGGAAGCAGGTTGAGTGATCGTCACGGGGTTAAGAGCTACCCTAACTCGCTCTTCTTTCAGCGTTGGAGAGATTGCGGGACACAGCAAGAAGATTCTCTCTTGTGATTTCAAGCCGTAATTAAAGTCTCCTCGTTCCATGATTTCCAGCTGATACCTGCTGGCAAGTGTCAAGCCCTTCCAGATCGCTACAGCATCAGAGGATTTCCAGGTATGTTTTGTGTATTCACGCAGATGTGGATGCTGTAGAACACATGGGAGTTCGTCTGACCGCATGAACTTGATTGCAAACTTCTCTTTTGCAGAAAATTCCACTCCAGCTCATTCTTTCTTGAGTGCTTGGAGCTGATGCTTTCTTCAATCAGGTTACGCTGCTGGATGGACCTCCCTTCAAGTTTGCCAAGACTCTCAAGGTTTGGTTTGAAATCAAACCAGCGCTCAAAATCTTAAGCATTTTGGACAGGACCATACCAAATTCGTCAACTGTGTCCGATATTCGCCCGATGGCACCAAATATTGCACCGTGAGTCAAGTCGAACGACAACGAGTTCGAATGACATGTTGTGGAAAGGTTGGATCCGACATGCTTGGTTTCATCTATGATAGTGCATCGAGCTCAAAGATCGGTAGCTTCTCAAGCTTCCGTTGTATCGTATAGCGAACCTGCTGTTTCAGGGGAGCTTAAGGGACACAAGGGAACCATCTACGCGTGCTCCTGGTCGTCAGACTCTTCCAAGATTGTCACAGCCTCCGCAGACAAAACTGTATGCTTCATCTTGTCTCTTGGGGTTCTGCGATCTCTGAAATGCCTGGAATGCTTTTAGGTCATTGTGTGGGATGCCAACACATACGCGAACATCGGAACTTGGAGCATTGGAGGAGCAAAGCCCGCGACTGAGGACATGCAGGTAGCGGATGCGACGTCATCAACGCTATCGAAATGTTCTGAAATCGCACAGGTTGGGGTCGCGTGGGTTCCCAACAGCAACCAGATCATCTCGCTGTCCCTCCGAGGAGATCTTACCTACCTTGACGCAGCCTCACCTGGAACCTTCAGTCGGGTGAGCGATGCTGGCAGGATCTCCTCATCGCCGAGTGCTGAAAGTTAGGGACCTCCTAGGTGATCAGGGGGCACAACAAGAACGTCACGGCTCTCACCACTGATCCGAAGAAGGGTTTGATCGTCTCTGCCAGCTACGACGGTCTCGTGAACAAGTAGGCTTGAGGCCTGTTCTACTTAGGTCCTCCTGTCTAACGCCTGCCACCCTGTGGCTAGATTCGCCTTGGGACAAGCAGAAGGTTATAGTCTGCAGGTGACAATTCTCTTGCCTTCTTGAGCTGCGTCGCCCATCTGACATGCAACAGGGCAAGTGGCACACCAACGCCATCGCTGATCACGCCATCTGCGGAGATACCCTTGTGTCTTGTGGCCTTGATGACACTTTTCGTACCGCTGACCTCAGCAAGATGGAAGTGGTGCGTTCGAAGGAGGAGCTTGCCACCTGATCTGAGATTGTTGCTCCTCAAGGTCGGAGAATCCTTGTCGCTCGGAGGTCAGCCAGCTGGGCTCAGCCTCTCGAATGATGGACAGCTCTGTGTTATCGCTACCAACAAGGCCCTCCTGTGCGTCAGAAAGCAGGTGAGCTCCCTGTCTCTCTGATCCTCGGTATACTTCACTCATCCTTACCTCAATCGTCCTACCCAGGGCACCGCTTGGAAGATCGCAAGCTCAACACCCATCTCCTTCGGGGCATCGGGTGTTTCGCTTTCACCTGCTCAAAACGAGGCAGACGAGAATCGACAACCCTCAAGGACCAACTGATGGGCAAGGCAGGTGGCTGTGGCGTGCGAGGACAACAAGATTCGCATCTTCTCTCTGGCTGGCGACAAGCTCTCGCCCGCCCAGGAGCTAGCGGAGCATCACAGCTCAGTGACCAAGGTCACGAGAGTCTGTTGATTATGATCTTATCTGACTGCCTTTCACCAGGTGGCATACTCGCCATGCGGCAAGCTGTTGGCGTCTGGCGATGTGGGGAAGGAAGTGATCCTATGGGATGCCGTCAGCAAGTCCGTCAAGACCAAGGGCATGACTTTTCACCTCGCCAAGATCACGTGCTTGGATTGGTCTCCAGGTGAATCGGCTGGCATGCTGGCTGCATAAAGCGTTGACCGCTCCCACATCTCAGACTCGTCTAAGTTCGCCACCGGCGGGTTGGACTCCAAGATCATCGTGTGGAGCGTGGAAGGTGGCCCGAACAAGAGGACGGTGCTAGACCGAGCCAATGTGGGTGGAGTGACAGGTCAGACACCCTTAAATCACTGTTTGCGCCAGCTGACTTCGCTTGCTCGACCTCTAGCTGTGAAGTTCCTTTCCCCTGGTCAACTTGTGTCAACTGGCGCGGATTGCAACATCAAAGTCTGGGTGGTGTGAGAGGCTGACTAGCCCAGGAAGTAAATCAAGTTCCCTAGCGATCGGTTTAGCCTTCTACTCAGTACAGCCTCCGTGTCCGATCTTGCAATGGGCCGGGTTCAACGGTGCCAAAAGACCGTACTCTTGCTCCTTCGCCGGCCCGGCGTTGCCAAGGCTTGAATGCGTCCGGACGGGAGTCCCGGGCCCCGGGCCCGGTCCGCCCGGCACCTGTCAGCGGCCCGTCACACACAGTGACGGTGCGGCCGGGCATAGTAACAGGCTCGTACGTGAAACGTCTCTTCTTCGATATTTAAATATGTTTTAAAAATGGAGGGGCGTTATAAATGACTACCCCATTTTGCACCAACCAAAATAGCGGTAGGCTACTGAGTCCATAGGTAGGGGTGCTAACTGAGGGGTACTGGATGTACCATTTGTCATATAGAACACAGGGGTACTGTAAACTGGTAAGGGGGTGCGTATATTGGATAGTGTACATATCGTGTACGTCCCTAATCGGATGAGTCCCGAGGGGGTGGGGTGGATCATGGGAGCAGGGGTGTTGGATCGATTTCTGTGGGGGCGCAAGATGGGAGAGGGCAGGGGGGGTGGTTGGAGCAGAGTTGACTTCAGGTAGGGGTACTCCAAAGTAAAAAACAAGACCGGGTAGGGGTACATGTATGTACCCTGACGTGAATAATAATAGCCTGCGACTAGGGGGTGAGGCTGGTGGGGCTGTGAGGAAAGAACGCCTCTCATCACCCCAGTGTTTCTATAGAAAAACGGGGTGGGGGTGAGTACCCTCTTGAGGCCAGGGGGTACCATTATTAACTTTTTGATGTTGTCAAGGAGGGACCATATATTGAATATTGGGGGGTAGAGGGGTGGGGCTGAATAGCCCGGCTGAAATCGGGGTTTTGTTTTTTGAGATACCCTTTGTTTCCCCCATATTTCTGCTACAATGGTCGGGTAGGGGTGGTTAAAAAAATACGTAACTAAAGAACTGTCGAACTCAGAGAGGAGTGAACGTGTGAGAACGGGCAGTAGGATATGCGAAGGGAGGTGCAGGGAGGGAGGGAGGGAGGGAGGGAGGGAGGGAGGGAGGGAGGGAGGGAGGGAGGGAGGGAGGAGAGGAGAGGCGAGGGAAGCTGAATTAGTGTCAGCCTGATGTTATGGATCAACCCTGCATGCATGGCCAACATGATGGGAAACCTGACTCATACTAGCAGACTAGAAGAAATCTCGTCGACATTTGTCTTGAACTCGTCCAGCGGCGGGATGTCAAGGAATACAAACACGAACTGCTGTATCACTGAATGCGGGAAAAAATTCACCACTGCAAACACTTGCAGCCATGCATCCATCGATGTTTGCTCGCAGGCCAACCAAATGTAAGTCACGAATACCATTCCCGGACCTTGCTTACGTCAAATTCGTACCCGAGTAGAGGCTGCTGTCAAAGTGCTTGTACGTGCATGTGGGAGGCCACAGGTTTGTTTGTCGACCATGCCTGATGTGTTCCCTCACTCTGTTCTACCAGGGGATAACACTGGATTATGCGGTAAGCTTCATCGACTGTGCTCCCTTTGTGCTGACAAGGCATTCAAGTTCAAGAAATAATCACCAGAAAGCCGCTGGTTGGCTCCTGCTGCTTGCTAGCTTCGTGCCGGCTGACTCTTGTGCCAGGTCATGTACATATTTGTTATTCTCCTCAGCTCCGCCTTCGCCCTGGGAATGATGTGAGGCAGGATTGTTGCGTTTGCCCCCGTGACTGCGGGAAACGCAGATACATATTCTGGAGGTACCTGAGAATCTCAAAGGCCAAGAAGGCAAGCATGCGCTACTCAGTGACAGCAGCGTCTGTTGCTGGACTGACAGGCTCCCTCTGCAGGTGCTAGCGGAGTGGCAGTCAGGTGACGCTGCCCCTAATGCCCCAGCGCTGCCGGCGGGAGAGGCATCCTTCTCAAACCTACAAGCGGTGAGGGAGAGTGAGGTTGCAGGAGACATTCTCAGTGACACAAGTGCAGGTTGTCTGCCATGTGCAGGACAGCACAGAGGTACTTCCTCTCCCTCCTCCTCACCCCGTTCCTCCCCCTCCCCCACTTCTCGACCTGTTCCTTTCCCCCGCCCCACCCCCTGCCTCGCCTCCTCCTTAACTCATGTTTTCAGCAGCCGCTTCCAAACGAGTGCCGGTTCTGTGAAGTCCAGAAGCTGGTGGCCCTCGCCTCATCTATGGCTTGCGAGGAGCGTGACTGTTGTCTCGCAGGCGGGAGCTCCCATCTGCAGCCGATGCGGCAACAGCCTCTTCCTCGTGGCTAAGGAGATCGTTGTGTTTCAGGAGAGGCCCGCTGGGCGGCAAGAGAGCAACGTGGACGTGTCGACTAGTCACAGATTCTTCCCTCCCTAGGCTTTCCCCTCGGGCCCTTCACTCTCGGGATGCTTGTATACTTCATTGCGATGCCACGGTTTTCCCTCTCCGTAACGCGCTGGAGGAGGGTCCCCCGTGTCCCCCGCGCCTGTTCTTTAATCTACTCTCTCTCTCTCTCTCTCTCTCTCTCTCTCTCTC